CTGAACTGCAGAGCTGACAAACTGGCAGGCAGTTACATGAACAGACACATGAAACAGGATCACTCCAAGGTACTCCGCTTTCCGGCCAACCTGGCCCAGCTGCACCTTCCCAGAGGAACATGCACATACAAGCTCCCCAGAACACTGCGGCATCTCAGGAATGACCAGCCCCTGTTCGACCACATTGTCAAACTGAATCCCGACTGGGACGAGGACACCCCTGCCCTGGTTGATTGGACAGCCCATGGTCGAGCTGTCAACCGTCACGAGATCCACAAACCGACAATTGTGAAGTTTCTATTTCAATTGTTGCCAGTTGGTAAACGGATCCACCGAGACGACCCCAAGTACGATCACCACTGTCCCCGTTGTGGAGGTGATCACGAGACTGAAATCCATGTTTACCGATGCCCGCATGTTGACGTGGATTTGTGGCGAGGGACCATGCAACGAGCGATCAGCACAAAGTTGCGCAAGGATTCCACCGACCCCTTCCTCCTGGAATTTGCTCTGGATGGACTACAATACCACTTTGAAGATCGATTCCTCCATCCATGGCATTACCCTGACAGGTATAGGGACCTTGTTGACACTCAAAATCTCATTGGTTGGGACAACTTCCTGAGAGGACGTTTGTCCACGCACTGGGCTAAGCATCATGATGCATATCTGCATCGGGTCGGTTCCAAGGAGACCTCCAAAACCGGACAGCTGTGGGTCACCAACCTGGCCTCACTGCTCATTCAGCAGTGGTGGAACCTGTGGGAGGATCGAAATGCTGCCAGACATGGCAAAGACAGGGAAGACCAGTGGAAGAAGAAGCACGAACAGCTTCAGCGGGAGGTGGAACTGATCTACGAGAAAGCGGATCTGATCCCAGCGGAGCTGGTGGATTTTATCTTCAAGCGACCGCTTGACGAGCAAATGGCAAAGGGCCCAGGCGACATCAAAGCGTGGCTTGCCAATTGGCTGCCCGTCATCGACAAGGCACTTAGGGACGAGCATGCACGCACAGTGCAGACCAACGACACAGGGTAACTATGCACAAAGGGGGTCTTACCGTAGAAATAGATGGCAATCCAGCCAAGGGTAGTTAGTTAGCTGCAAAGCACCCTCCGGAGTTTTTAAACTTCTCCGGTGGGGGGCTTGCACTAGGCCGGTTCCTATGTGGGCGTCCTTGTACGTCTGAGGTACTCCGGTTCAATATGGCTCCGTTCAGCGGGTGGTCTATTGAGGTGCAGCCTAAATAATAAAACTTCGTTATTTTTTTGGATCTGCTCTGTAGCAGTCCTTGGGGCGACGTATTCGGATTCTTCCTCTTTCAGAGCATCTTGACCTCGCGTTCTTCCGTCCTTGCCTCAGCTCTGTCCAGCATAGTATTGATTTGCTTTAGACCTTGTAGTGCATTGGATTCAGCCGTACTGTTGTGTCGCGAATCCGTGACGAACAAGGGCAAGACTTGCCTGGATTACATTGGCTGGTACCCCAACGATTCTCTGGCATCCGATTGGGATGTCCTCCAGCAGATTGAGCAGACATTCAGACATTCAGGGATGCAGTGACAGTCCCAAAACTGGAACACATCAAGTCCCACCAGGACAAATCCAGGGCATTGACACACTGCCATTGAAAGCCCAGCTCAACTGTCGGGCTGACAAGCTGGCAGGCAGCTTCATGAAGAGACACCTGACTGTGGATCAGTCCAGAGTTCTCCGTTTCATTGTCAACTTGGCACAGCTGCATCTGCCCAAGGGCACGTGCACATACAAATTACCTCGGACATTGCGGCACCTCCGCAACAATCAACCACTGCTGGATCATATGATAAAGCAGAATCGGGACTGGAATGAGGACACACCAGATATGATTGATTGGGTGCCCCACGGCAGAGCAGTCAACCGACACGAGGCCCACAAGCCGACCATCGTAAAGTTTCTGTTCCAGCTGCTCCCGGCGGGAAAGCTGGTGCACAGGGACGACCCCAAGTACGACCACAAGTGCCCCATGTGCAGTTGTGACTACGAATCGGAAGCTCACGTCTACAGGTGCCCGCATGTGGATGTGGAACTGTGGCGGGGGACCATGCAGCGTGCCATCAGCACAATGCTTTGTAAGGTGGGCACGGATCCAGTCCTGCTGGAGATCGTTCTTGATGGCTTGCAGTACCACTTCGAAAAGAGGTTCCTGCATCCATGGCATTACCCAGACAGGTACCGGGACCTGGTTGATGCTCAGAACTTAATCGGGTGGGACAACCTCATGCGGGGACGGATGGCCAAGCAGTGGGCCAAACACCAGGATGCATATTTGCATCGGGTCGGTTCCAAGGAGACCTCCAAAACCGGACAGCTGTGGGTCACCAACCTGGCCTCGCTGCTCATTCAGCAGTGGTGGAACCTGTGGGAAGATCGCAATGCTGCCAGACATGGCAAAGGCAGGGAAGAACAGTGGAAGAAGAAGCACGAACAGCTTCAGCGGGAGATGAAACTGATCTACGAGAAAGCGGATCTGATCCCAGCGGAGCTGGTGGATTTTATCTTCAAGCGACCGCTTGACGAGCAAATGGCAAAGGGCCCAGGCGACATCAAAGCGTGGCTTGCCAATTGGCTGCCCATCGTCAACAAGGCACTCAGGGCCGAGCATGCACGCACCGTGCAAAACAATGAAGAAACAGGGTAACTACGCACAGAGTGGGTCTTACCGTAGAAATAGATGGCAACCCAGCCAGGGGTAGTTTGATAGTTGCAAAGCACCCTTCGGAGTTTTTAAACTTCTCCGGTGGGGGGCTTGCACTAGGCCGGTTCCTATGTGGGCGTCCTTGTACGTCTGAGGTACTCCGGTTCAATATGGCTCCGTTCAGTGGGTGGTCTATTGAGGTGCAGCCTAAATAATAAAACTTCGTTATTTTTCTTCTTCAGCCGTACTGTTGTGGAAAAGAAGGTCACGCACATTCCTTTGCGAATCTTTCAGCTCACACATCGCTAGTTGGGCACAAGCAAATTTGTCTTTGCTTGGCACGCCACGAGTATAGATACCTGTAGATCCAACACCACAAGACCGCTCCTGACTCTTGGCCTCTGATTGCTGTTTTCTTGCAGAGGCTCTTCCTTGCTTGGAGACATTCTTTCCGTCTTCAGACAAACAACCAAGGGGCCGACAATATCCTTTGGGGCAAAACAAGAGAAACACAAAGAAACCATTGAACATATACTTAAGCGGCATGTCTTCTTCCACGAAAACCTTGTCACTCTTCTTCTTCCTGCTGCTGTTCGACTTGTTGTTCTTGGAACCTTTAAAGAACACAAACATCTGCCTTCTGCCGGACGTACAGTACCATATCTTCGAATGCCTTGCCAGATGGGTACTTATCGCCCTGCATGTACTCTTTGTAGAATTTCAATGCAACAGGCGAGGCTTGTCAGTGTCCTTTCATTTATGTTCCTTCCTTTCAGTTCCTCATTTTGATGGCGAGAAAGAGCTTCCACTGCGAATCCCCTGGAATGGATGATATAGTTGGCTCCTTCATTGCAACTGAAAATGTCTTTCATTACCAACTGGTAGCCACCTTGGCGATTCTCGTTTCCTTCTCTGTTGTTTTCTAATGGAATTCTTTTGAACATAGACGCATATGCTCCCTTTCCATCCATCAACTTCTCCAACACTGAAGCATACCCAGCGAATCCATGGAAGACTTTCTGCAGAAATTCCTCTTGTTTTTCGTCCCTTTCTCCGTCAGCTTTGCCTCCCATAACAAGGTCTCTGCACTCAGTTGCTACTACGTTGTGGCACTCCTGAAGAAGACCATCTGGTAGCTTGTCTGCTGCAAACGCCATAGTCGCCAAACTTAGAGGTTTGTGGAGACTACGAAGACAACAACAAGCTAGCTAGATAGGATGATGTGGCTGTAATAAAGAAAGGAAAGGTGGCAACTTGGCTCGAAAAGTGACGCTGGATTCAGAGTTTGGTTGTCACACACTATCTATTGTTTTGATTGGTTGTTGGGTGCCACGTCAGGGCAAAGAGAGGATTCAGGTGTGGTGGTAGCGTTAGGGCCGGTGGCATACGCGATACGACTTCTTATTGTCGCGTATGTGGGTCGCGTGTTTACCGTTAGGATCGGCTTTAATGGTCTCCTCCTTTTGGCTTTACCGGAAGTGTTTGAATCCATGGTACTTGAACTGATACAAGAGGCCTCCGGTTACGCCAACCACGGAAATTGAAATGAGGGCTGTCAGTTGCTTGGCCAACTGGCATGTGCTTACTTTACTAGCAAGCCAGCGATGGAGAACCCTAGCAGCACTGCTTCCAGCTAGAGCTATCCTGATTTCAACCAGTTAGGATTAGCTAGCTACCAAGCAACTCTCCCAGCTAGTGATGTGGCTCCGTGGTAGTTCTCCCAGCTCCTTCCCAGGGCTCCAATGATACCATAGCCCTAGCAGTTCTCCCAAAACTAGCTTCATCCCCAGTAGCCGTCCTCTCAGATCTTCTCCAACATCTATCCTAATACCCAGTTCCAGTCACAATATCATGGCTCTGCTGAACTACTGTACCTGGACCCGGAACCGTACCCTACTAAGCTAGAGCTACTAGTATCCGGACCTGGAACCATACTGTACCAAGCTAAAGCTACTAGTACCCGGACCCGGAACCGTACCTCACCATGCTTAACTCTCTCAGATCTTCTCCAACTTCCATCCTTTAGAATTCCCAGTTCCATGCAAAGTACCATGGCTTTGCTAAACTACCATACCAGGACCCGGAACCGTACCCTACCAAGCTAGAGCTGCTAGTATCGGGACCTGGTCCGTACTGTACCAAGCTAAACTACTCTAGTACCAGTACCTGGACCCGGAACCGTACCTCACCATGCTAAAGCTACTAGAATGGTTAGTCCTAATCCTAACAACCTCTCAAGAAAACCCTCAAAACTCGTACTAGACTAGCTTGCACTACCGGTACAGGTACAGTACTGAGTACATGTTTTGTACCGGCAGTGAAGGCTGACCTGTGGTAACCCATAACCCTAAAAACATTACGACGACAGACGAAAAACTAAAATTATAACCTAGCCAACTTCGTGGTTGGCGACTCTTTAAACATACCTGTCAACACTACTTTTCAAAGACTTCGGTGTCACCGTAACTCTTTCTCGTACAGTGAGAACATTTGTTTCAATAAATCTGTCATGAAAGTGACCAAAGGGGCCGGGTCCCCGCCATCCCACGCTGCCAAGGCACCGAGATAGGTCTCCGTCTTTTCAACTGGGATGATGATGGGTGGATAACCACGTCTCATTAAGATCAAGTTCGAGAGGAGACGGGCCGTAAGCCCATTACCGTCCAAAAACGGATGGATTCGCTGGAACGCGTAATGGACAGTGGTTGCCAACAACAAAGGGTGATAGTCAGTATCCTGTCTCTCGCGGATCCAAGTAACCAACTTTGTCATGAGCGCTTCAATTTCGTCAGGCATTGCCAGAAGTACTTTCCTGTTGCCAACCGTAACAAACTCCTCCTCTCCTCGATACTTTCCCCCCGCTGAGTGATTTTGGAGGACGAGCTCGTGGATGTTCAAGATATCGCGAATACTTATGGTGGCGGCGGATTTTTTCGTCGCGACGAGATCCTGAACTTTCTGAAAAGCCTTGGCGTGGCCAACAATGTCTTCCAGTTCCCGCAGCGTCTTGCCTTCTCCACCTATTAATCCGGATAAAATCATTGCTGTTTCGGACCTGGATATTCTGTTCCCTTCCATTGCGTTGGAGTTGTATGTCATTTCAATGTTAAGCTTCTCGTAAAGTTCTTTCAGCTTCAACCCATTTTCTTGACGCAGACGCATAATCTCCTCGTTCTTCGACGTCAACTCGTCCAAAATACCTCGGTCGGCAATACTTGCGGTGAGGTCAAAGAGACTGGTATATTTGATGAAGATCTCACCGGTTGGATCACTTCCCCCATTGCTGTACACTCGAGCTTTTTCCTTCGTCCACCACTCCGTCATTTCTTTCCTCTCCTGCCGCGTTTTCTGAAAGTCGTGTAGTTTCTTCTCAATTTCTGCCCCTTCTTGTTCCCTCGCTCGGCGCACGTCTTGCCTCTGCACGTAAATCAGACCGCAGAAGGAGACAACAACAGCAAACCATCCCTTGGCGTCCAGCAGAGAGTATTGAGACAAGAACAAAGTGACGAGGCAAAAAGCGGCCAGAATAGAAGTGAAGTATTCCATTACTAATAGTGTCGTTGCGTTGCGTTGCGTTGCTGCTGGTGTTTCTTTCGTGCTCGCTCTTGTGCAAACACAGCTGGCTACTATGATTGGTGTGAGGATGGGGTGTGGCATTGCCTCAGTTGGTGTAGTGGTGGTCATGGTAGGAGAGGGTAGAATTGGATTTGAAGTTGGGCGACACGGGTATATTTAGTTCCCTTTGTCGGACGTTAAAGCCCTGTGTGTCTAGGTGTCTAGGTGGTGTATATGTGGGTAGTGGTATTGTAGGTTGGTAAAAAAAAAAATAACGAAGTTTTATTATTTAGGCTGCACCTCAATAGACCACCCGCTGAACGGAGCCATATTGAACCGGAGTACCTCAGACGTACAAAGACGCCCACATAGGAACCGGCCTAGTGCAAGCCCCCCACCGGAGAAGTTTAAAAACTCCGGAGGGTGCTTTGCAGCTAACTATCTACCCTTGGCTGGATTGCCATCTATTTCTACGGCAGGACCCCTTCTGTGCGGAGTTACCCTGTGTCATTGTTCTGCATTGTGCGTGCATGCTCGTCCCTGAGTGCCTTGTCGACGACGGGCAGCCAATTGGCAAGCCACGCTTTGATGTCGCCTGGGCCCTTTGCCATTTGCTCGTCAAGTGGTCGCTTGAAGATAAAGTCCACCAGCTCCACTGGGATCAGATCCGCTTTCTCGTAAATGAGTTCCACCTCCCGCTGAAGCTGTTCGTGCTTCTTCTTCCACTGGTCTTCCCTGTCTTTGCCATGCCTGGCAGCATTGCGATCCTCCCACAGGTTCCACCACTGCTGGATGAGCAGTGAGGCTAGGTTGGTGACCCAGAGCTGCCCTGTCTTGGTTGTCTCCTGGGAGCCGACCCGATGCAGATATGCATCTTGATGCTTAGCCCAGTGCGTGAACAAACGTCCTCTCAGGAAGTTGTCCCAACCAATGAGATTTTGAGTGTCAACGAGGTCCCTATACCTGTCAGGGTAGTGCCATGGGTGGAGGAATCGATCTTCAAAGTGTATTGTAGTCCATCCAGAGCAATTTCCAGGAGGAAGGGTCGGTGGAATCCTTGCGCAACTTTGTGCTATCGCTCGTTCATGGTCCCTCGCCACAAATCCACGTCAACATGTGGGCATCGTAAACATGGGTTTCAGTTCTGATCACCGCACACGGGACAGTGTGATCATTACTTGGGTTCATCCCGGTGGACCGTTTCCCAACTGGCAACAATGAAATAGAAACTTCACAATTGTCGGTTTGTGGATCACATGACGGTTTGACAGCTCGACCATGGGCTGTCAATCAACCAGTGCAGGGTGTCCTCGTCCCAGCAGGATTCAGTTTGACAATGTGTGTCGAACAGTGGTCGTCCCGAGAGCCGCAGTGTTCTGGGGAGTGTGTGCATGTTCCTTGGGAGTGGTATGGGTTGGTGTTGTGTGTTTTGAGTAGCGGTACAGTGTCGTTCCGTTCGAGGATAGAGGTTCGTTCGCAGGAAGAGGTCGTTCGCGATAGAGGGGCGTCGTCGAAGAGGTGCGTTCGTCGATAGTGGTGCGTTCGTCGATAAGGGCGTTCGTCGAGGATAGAAGTGCGTGTCTGAGGTAGAGGCAGGGTCCTTCGCGAGCCGATAGAGGTGCGTCGTTCCGTTCGATCGAGGATAGAGGTGCGTTCGTCGATAGAGGTGCGTCGATCGGTGTAGCGGATCGGTGGTGGTATTATTATCGGTTGTATAGAAAGATCTTATAACATCTGTTGAAGAGACTAAAGGTAGTAAGATGTATTACGAATGATGTTATAAGATTATGAGGAAAAGCTACTTTGTTGTCTCTTGATATCTGTACATGAGTGGAGGCTAGATTCCGGTTGACGGTGGACAGTCAGACGGCCGGAATCAGCACAGAAAACCGGTTCCATCGCCCAAGACAGGTTCCATCCTGGAATACCACGGAATCACAAATAAATAAATAAATAGTCTAAAAGCGTTATCGGCAATCATTTGATCCAATCTGGCTACTCGTAGCCCTACTGTACCGGTACTACTGTACCGGTACCTGATATGGCTGAGCTGCATGAAACAACATCACATCCAAAACAAGCCACCAAACATCTTTTTTCTTGTCACACTTCCCCGCTCTAAAGTAGATGTACTTTGTCACTCTCATGGTAACATTGAGAAGGTACTTCCAATAACTACTTTGTCAATATTAACATGCCCGTCGTAGAGGATCCATCTAGAAGTCCATTTGGTGTCTATGGAGTTACTCAGTGACTAATAAGCTGGAGGCTCCCACTTTCTCCCATTTTTGGGACTTTCTTCCATCAGATGGGGTTGTGGAAGCGTTTTCTCAAGCCAAACCAATGCTACACCCCACAGCGGCAATGCCAATGGATACAAGGAAGTGTGGCATGTATAATTAAGCACATTCTGCGGTGCACTAAGAGGATTTATAATTGGTCAGTCAATTAGTCAGTCAACCACAAAGCACAAGCCGACCGATCGAACGATCAATCGATCGATCGAACGACGACCGCGACTGCTACAACTACGGCGACAACAACAAGCAATTACTGCTACTACAAAAATATCAACAAGCCGCCGTTGATGTCGATGGCAGCAACGGCGTCGGCGTTGGCATCCTGTCGGCAGAAGGCAGAAGATCCTGCTGGCAGAAGCAAGAAGATTTGAGCTTTCAAGCACCATTTTCCTGTGACACTATTAAATACAGTGGTATGTAGACTAAAGTCGCACAGAGGCCCCAAAGTCGCGTGCAAAGTCGCGTGCAAAGTCGCGTGCAAAGTCGCGCGCGAGTCGCATGGAAGTCGTGCGCGACTTTCCACGCGACTTTGAAAGTCGTGTCAAAGTCGCGAGTAAATAAACCTTCACAATGGTGCTTTTGCCGTCGTTTGTAACCACTTCTGACCTATTAACTTACTGTGCTACTACTATTCTAGTTGTTGTATGGGTTCTTGTTGCCCTTCCGACTGATTTCTGGTCTGTTCTTGGCCTCAGAAAGATCTTTCCTGGCTTTTTTAGCCTCGGCTTTTTTGGCTGCCGTTTGTTGTGGATTGGTTCCATATGGTTTGGCTTTTTCAACAAGCTGATCGATCCTTTACACTGAGGAGTTATCTCAGTCTCTCACACGCTTATTAATGAAGCATTTATTTAAGCCTTTTCTACCAAAGCTACACAAAAACTAGTGACTTAAACAAACACGCTGGGAGTAATATCTGATGAACGCAAACCACAATCATACTATTTTACTATATGTCTGTACCATGGATTGTAAACATGTTACATTATTCCTCTTACAGATTATGCCTCGAAACGCCTTCAGAGAATGGACACGCGTCAAGATCTATTGAAACGTATACTATTACTATACGATTTCATCAATGCAGGATTCAAATATATCTTCTAGTGCGCACTTACTAATGCCTGTGAAGGATAGAGAATGTCCTATTCTTACCGGTAAACCAAAAGATATATAGTGGAGAATTCGAATCCTGCATAAGCATGCCATTGCACCCCTTAGCATAATTCGCTATATAAAGTACTGTAAGAATCTACCGACTAGTGAATTCACGAATTTGTACTACTTTACTATACGTAATCGCTCCATGCAGGATTCGTGTTCCTCAATGCATGTTTCAAAGGTCACATTTACTTATGTCTGTGCAGGAAGCAATTTAACTGGTTAATAGAAGATATAAGGTCGCAAGTTCGATTCCTGCATAGAAGTGCTTTTTGCACCTGTAGAAACTTTATTTATATAGATTGTATGCTGTACGAATCTATCTACAACTGCAGTCACGAATTCTCGTTGGATGTAGCTTTTTATATGCCTGTGCAGGATACGAAATGTCTTATTCTTACTAGCCCGCATAGATACGTTTACTGTACAAAGTACCGTACGAATCTACTAAATCACGATTCGGCTATTGCTGTGAAAAGGAATTTGATACCGTTTATGCAAACTACCATACGAACCTATAGTAAAATAGTAGGATTGTGCTTTGTCAACACGAAATGGAACTCTATCTCGCTGCTAGCTACTAGCTAGCTATTAGCGCTAGCTACTAACTAGCGCTAGCTACTAGCTCTAGCTACTAGATATTACTAGCTAGCGAGCTAGCTAGAGCCAGGTTTCGGGCGCTTGCACTTTCTTTATCTCTAACCCTTTCATTTCAATAAAATAATTTTATTAAACAAATACATGCTCCTCAGTGGCTCCCCCTAGGGTCGTTATTGCAAGCCTGATGCCACCAAAGTCAGCATATTCAGGTGTTTCATTGAAGAGCTCCTTTGGAGTCTTTGTCAAGTGCAATCCAGCAGCCATTGGCTTATCAAGTTTCTTGGCAGCAGCGGATCCTCTCCAAATTGGTTTGCCATTTGGGTAGTGGGTTGGTGTGCCATAATGAGCTCTGGCTTCCTCCAAGCACTGCTTGTCATGCACAGCAGCCCACTTCATATACTTCACTGTGTTCTGGATTGTCTTGATTCGGGTTTTATAGCGCTCAAGATCAAAGGGAAAATTGGCAAACTCAGGTTGGTGGGCATACATTTCATCAGAGAGCTTTTCGATGTTGTTGATTTTTGTCACTGGTACCAAGCCATCAAACATATCCTGGGCCATCAGCTTTTTGGCGTCACTGGTTTCCCATCTAGCTCCATTTAGAGATGCAGGCGGCCTCTTAGCATCTTTTCCCTTGGCGGGTTTTGCTTTGGCCATCGCGGAGATCCAGTAAAATGTACCAATCAACAATCAGCCAAAGTTGACGTCACGGTCGGCTGAGTCGCGAAGTCGATAGCTACCTGTTGCTTCATGACTGTTGACGACTGTTGACGACGTCAAAAGGCAACAACAACAGATTGCTTAGAGCTGACGGCAGCTCATTACTATGATTTTGAAACGAGATTTTGGGGATAAACAGTTGCTTCGATTTGAATTAAAAGGTACGTTCAAAGGTCCAAGAGATCTCACTTTCTTCTTGTTGCTCGAGATCGCTCACAATGCCAACTCTACGAAGCTTGCGATCGGACCCCCTTAGTGGATTAGACTATCTAACCAACGATTTCAACATTCCGTCGGACGATCCATTTGCCCAGGTGAGTCATCATGGATCCAGACGAAGTCGAGTATGCTTGTGATGTTGGGCTACCACGAAAGGGTCTCGACATCCACACCAAACACTTTCTATTGATGTCACTTGATCGACATGGAGGCCCTAAAGCTGTCTCCTATGAGAAGCGACTGCTGAAGCAACTATGTGATGAGCATGATGAGGAACTTGGTGTCCATGGTTCCATTCTCCGTGCAAGAGTGAAGTGGTTGGCTGATCGATGGAAGAGGTATGTGGGCTTTGAAACCAAAACTCGTGGTGAAATCATGGCAGAGTATGCTAAAGCTGTTGCTCTTCTCTGTTCTCAGGCTGGAGAAGACGACCAAGTGAAACTGGATCTCATCTCTTCCGCCATCAGCTCCTCCTCATCACACAAACAGAAGGCATCAGCAGCCAAGCCCGACAAAGTCAAGTCAACGCCGACAAAACTCAAAAAGGAAAAGCCAACCATGTCTCTGCTTGGCAGTCCTGTGCGCATTCTCAAGGGCAGCAACAGTAGTGGCTCCAAGGGTAAGTTGCCGTCTGTCTTCTGCTTACGTTTGACTTTCATTTTCTTTATTTGATACACTCAAATGGATGCTGCTCTTTGTTTGTTTAACAGATCATAAAGAGTTTTATGATGTTGATCTTTCCAATGAGGAGATGCATGGAGAGTATCTTGTTACTCTCTGTACGGATGAGCTCATCACCAAGAAGGATGGTAGCACTTGCCATGCCAGCTCCATTGTTGTAGCCCGTCCCAATAGCAAGCCAGAAGACAACAAGCTCTTGAAGGCTACGGTGAACACGGATTCAATTGAGATTGTAGGCCCTGCGAAGAGTAGCACCTACTTAGCCAGCTCTAAGGAGTGGTTGGGGTTGCTTGAGAAGAACAAGAAGAGGTTTTCGGCATCCAAGCTTGGCACCACACTCACTGCATTGGTTACCAAAATGCAAAAGAAGAAGGTAAATACAAAGACGACCGTTCTTAGTGTCAAAGACCTTGGCATCAAGCTCTCGAATCAATATTTCAATGACCGATGATGCCAAGACGGAGCGCTGAAGATGGTTCCTCTCCCGTACTCGTCCGAAACCAAGGTTGGAAAGAAAACCTTTAAGGTCACGGAAGCAATGGTCATCTGGCGTGCCTACATTGAAAGCTCCGAGGACGAAGTCAGCAACCAAGTTGGCACTGGAAGTGAAGACTACGATCTTTTGGTTAACCTCCTGGAGAGCAGTGCGTAACTGCTTGCTTGGTTGTGCTGAAGTCGTTCTAAGAATCTAAAGAAATGTTTTGTGCTCTTTGTTGCTTTCATGTCATGTACACTGCCAAGGTCTCCTGCGGAAGCATACCATATATCATTCGTCCACATGGAAACAACAACTTGATAGTTGAGACCGGCAAAGTTGTGCTTGTATGCATAATTCTTTGGATTTCTCCTCATTTCAGGATCTTGGTTCATTTGTCCTCATTTGTGTCCCATCCACTGTAGCTCCCAATTTGAAAAAATAACGAAATTTTATTTTAAAGGCTACACCTCGTCAGACGATCCGCTGAACGGTGCCGTGACGAACCCATATACCTCAGGCGCATTTGTGCGCCCACTTAGGATGGGCCTAGTGTAAGCCCCCCACCGGAGAAATTTAACAAAACTCCGCACTGTAGCTCCCAATTTGACTGGCCACACTTCGGGGCACTTGATCTTCTTCATCTTGACTTGAACAAGAATGTCTACCCACTGCCATGTTGTGTGCCTCAGTTTGGTGTGGCATTGAAAGCCAAAGCGTGGAGCTCGTCTATCCTCTGGCTCGTAGCACTTGAGAAAGTGGTTGGCCACCATGAATCCAGCAAATGACTCTCTCTTCTTTGCTTCCTCCACATCCAACACCTCAAAGAGTTGTGCATCCCGATAGACACAGGCAAGGTGCAATGGGTGGCGACCAAAGTGAGATTTGAACTGTCGGATATTAGTCTCCATGCAGTGGCTACTCTGTGTGGCCACATCAACAAAGGACCACTTGAGACCCTCTCGAAGGATATAGGATGGCGGTATAATGAAGGGAGCCACTCCGTTGGCCACTGCGTCGACCATTGTCGAGGTTGTTTGGTTGTTGATATCGATCTTCTTGTTGTGATGAAGAGTCGCGTCAAAGTCGTGTGGCAAAATGAAAGTCGTGCAGAAAGCCGTGCGAAAGTCGTGTGCGAGTCGCGTGCGACTTTACAAACGACTTTTGGCGATCTGACGCGACTTTGTTGGAAACGGCCGAAATCGCTACTGAATCCGGGACTAACAGTCGTGTGACGAGGCCTTCCTGGGCCCGGGCGGTCAGATAGGTTTCCAGTACTGGAAGACAGTTTTCGCTAGTGGGAGGGGGTGAGAAAAATAACGAAGTTTTATTATTTAGGCTGCACCTCAATAGACCACCCGCTGAACGGAGCCATATTGAACCGGAGTACCTCAGACGTACAAGGACGCCCACATAGGAACCGGCCTAGTGCAAGCCCCCCACCGGAGATGTTGGAGGTTGTATTACAGACACCTCAATACAAATTAGTCGTTTATCCCAATCTAGTTATAGGGGATATCTATATCTATTCTCTAGTTACATACATGGGGAGTTTAACTGATCTATATGGTCCCCTTCACTATATCCTTTGAAGTTGAATCAATCCCAGAAAACATGGAGAAAGATCACTTCTTGGAAATAGCTTAACAGTAACAGTATTTTACCTTTACTAAGCTAGAGTGTTACTAGCAACCAACACTATTTCCAAGAAGATCTACCTCTCGAAGTTCATCTCGAATTCGAGATATCGACCATGGTGATATCGACATCCTATTACATGATATCAAGTCTATGGCTATAAGGTAACCCGTGCAACAGAAGGTTCAGGCAAAAAGGGCTCTAGCCTCACTGAGAGAGCTATCCCAACAGCCTAGCAGGAAAAAGGCAACATCACAAAATTGTGCCTACTACACCGGAGCAATCGGTCCACCAAAAGACGACCGAATCGTTGCAATCGGTGCATACCACGTGAAAGAGCCACACTAACTCCACCACTCTACTGCTTGAATGAAGTCAATCCAACAGGAGCCGAGAAAGTTACGACAGCTTGAATATCTGATACGAGCAGAGGCTATTGTACAAAGCCAAGACAACGAGTATCGGTAACGGTACGAGTATTGATAACGGTACCAGTACCGAAGTGAGGGAACATCAAGAACGCACAAGCTCACAGGAGCGAGCGAAACACCAAGACCTTTGAGCTGCGGAACACAGCCATCGTATGGCATTGTCGATACGCAAACAAACTACAAGACTGAGTGATTCATCCGCACGACGTAGTGCAAGAGTGTGGCCAAGCTATCTAGCTCACTACCACAACGAGTCGAGTCCAACAAGAAGGGCTTCCGGTAAGCCGGAGCCAAGGCTACTGCGGAGACAAACCGTACGAAGCCAAGAGGAGCAACACCAGGAGTGTTGCCACGAAAGAAGCGTGACACGGACGCAATTGTCGCCACGAAGAGGAGTTAGATATCAAACTCCAACAGGAAGAGGAATCGCCGCAGAGGTACTTCCGCGGGAGTTCCTATCCTCACTATCAAGCCATCGAATCAGTGCTGATAGAAGAGAGGTACAAAGGAAAATTCCAACGCACAACAAGACGAATTACCAGGCCGATCACTCGGCAACCACAGGTCCTACAAGAGGACTGTCATACACAGAAGTGGGCTACTATACAGTCACTGACAGGCCCTCAAGAGTGCAAGCACTCGAATCGACCTCAGAGCGAGTTGCATCCGTCGGCAACAGGCTGAATAAGAGTGAATTTGCGAGTTTTTGCAAATTCTACCAGCCAAGAGCAAAATGACTCAAGCGATCGAACGATCGCTACCGCTACTCAGTCGCTACCGCCACGACAACGGACGCTACAACAACAAGAGCTCGTTACTGCTATTGACGACCAACAGTGTCGGCCAGCAACAGCATCGGTACTACCGGTCCCGAAGCCATCAGTCATCGGCGGCAATAGGAGTGTCGGCAGTGCGGACACGAAGAAAAAGGCAATCCTTGCTTTTTGTGAGGAAACTTGCCACTGTCACCACTCACCACAGCGCGGAACACCAAAGAACAAGCTGCATGTTCACCGAACAGCAGCCACAGAACGTGAAAGGTATCTTTTCTCGAAAAGGTATCTTTCCAGGAGTGTACCGAGCCAGATCTCACGATCTCTCCGTACGCGAATCCAAGCACTCCAAGCATGCTGCTACCGGTACCGACAAGCTACTGGGACAGTATGCCGTGCAGAAAGCTAGCTAGTAGCTAGCTAGTAGCTAGCTAGCCAACCGCCTGGCACAAGAGCTACCACAACAGTGTAAGCTGGTGCTACAGGAAGCACAGGAGTGCATCCGCCCCAGCATTGAATTATTTTCTTTGGAGTTGTTTGAGTTTACTCAACACCTCCTACCCCTTTCATGGAGTGTGTATTGTGGCACCCAAGCCACAGCACCTCCTACTACCAATTTTTGGAATGTGTATTGTGAAACTAATCCACAGCACTTCCTCCTTATGAAACAGGCAAACCTGAGGCAACAACAGCCTCTAGGCAACAACAGATACCATTACAAGACCATGCCCTTGCTATTTGATCACAGCAAGTGCACAGGAGTGTGAGGGTACCCAAATCCAAAACCTACAATCCTACAAACAAAATCATCATAACATCCGCCTTTATAGGCAATGCCGTAACCATCAATGGCCACAACAATGGCCACAACTACACGGCCAACAACCATCAATGGCTACATCAACAGCCAGCATCGATGGCAACAACAGCCAACAACGGTATCTACCACTACCAAACCGATTACAATGAATCGACCAAACCAAATTCAAATTGCATCTACAATAACGGCAACTACAACAACAGCAGAACGACAGTGAACGTTGAACCGAGTAGCTAGCTACAAGCAAGCCACTCAAGAGTTCACAAGACAAGGAACCAAGCCACAGGATGGCTGGAGCAGACAGAGTTTGACCCACAAGCGGGAACCTGATCAATAGAAACAACAAGAGGGTGCACACCTCAGCTCCACTGCAACTACTGTACAGAGATTGCAACCAACCTTAGTCTCACACCAACAACAGAAGTACGTGAGTACATCAAATCAAGCACACATTCATGTACAACAAGTCACAGCCATTCGATTCCAAAGAAGAGGAGGCCGTGATGAAGGAAGAAGCTTCCCCAGCTGGGAAGAAGAGGATTCCATTCCTCTGGAAAAGACAACAGCAGGACATCCAACACTTCTTGGACATCCAACAAGCAGAGACAGCTCACGTTCCATTCCAATGGACAACAAGCTGACTCCAGATAGCTACCAAGCTATTGCACAGACTCATGCTCACATGATTTCCAAATCCAGTATCAAGCCTGAATGGATCGATGTTTCCACACATCATTGGCGATTGAGACCATGGCATACCAATGTCCAGTTCAGTCTACACCGCCAGTCAAGAACACAGTTTGAGTCTATGAGAATGCAGCCGGAACTTCCTAGTTTCCAGCTACAGCAATACCAAGTGACCGGAACTTCCCAGTCCACGGTCCAACAAGTGATCGGAACTTCCCAGTTTCGAATACAGCAACATCAAGTGACGGCCACAACCGCCACAGCAAGTCATACAGGAATGGCAACACTCACAGGAGTGGTAGCCACAGTGGCTTTTCATGACGACACTGTTCACATGTCCACATTGACTGTGACAGATTTGTCAGCACTGCTATGGATGACAAGCTTCTCGCCACCAAGCGGAATGCCAAGCAACCTAGCACGTGGTCTCTTGACCAACAACTGTTCCTTATGGAGCAACCATCATTACATTAATTATTCGTTCCACGGTATCCTCTATGGAACCGTGCAGGAGTGTGTTGGAGGTTGTATTACAGACACCTCAATACAAATTATTCGTTTATCCCAATCTAGTTATAGGGGATATCTATATCTATTCTCTAGTTACATACATGGGGAGTTTAACTCATCTATATGGTCACCCCCTTCACTATATCCTTTGAAGTTGAATCAATCCCAGAAAACATGGAGAAAGATCACTTCTTGGAAATAGCTTAACAGTAAAACAGTATTTTACCTTTACTAAGCTAGAGTGTTACTAGCAACCAACATGTAGGCCAGCATAGCTGTTGGAGCTATCTCTGACGGGATCCAGAGCTCTCGCTCCTAAAAGTTATCGCTCCCCACGAGTGCGTATGGATCCGCTCTCATGGGCATGCCACGATATATGATTAGTTACTAACTAACTACAATACATACTCTCCCCATGAACGGAACATTCATGGGCCACTCAGCATCGGCTGCTAGTGGAACACAATGTGAGATTGGAGATCTCACAAGTGGAGGGACTTGCATGGTTGGTCGGTTGCTGGACCAAAGGTAGGCAAAGGGGTTGCCTGCTTCATCAGCATGGCCAGACTAGGTAGGTGTCGGCGGTGCTGGTTGCTATCATAGCTGTTGTTTGTTTTCTTCATATGTAGACAAATATTGTGGCTTTGCCACAGGCCGAATTCAGCGGCGGCAAGCTCTCAGTGGAGCGGCCTTCTTGCCCCGCAATCATGTCCCTTGACGGGTGGGATGGATGGGCTGTACCAGACAGGGACGTAGTCTAGTTGCCCGTCCGAAAATCCAGGGGCGTCACCGGGATTGGTCCATTGCCATGCACTAATGCCATGTCAGGGGTAGAAAGCATGGTGGCGGTCAGCTTCTGGGAAGGCGACACCATGGCAGTCAGCTCCTGGGTAGGAGACACCAAAGCTGTCTTGGTCAAAGGTGCTTGCTGTGGTTGCTCCCCATGGATTCCACCAAGAGTAGAGGGTATCTGCTTGGTGGGCCTCCTGGCAAATGGACTGGTGATGGTTGGACCTAGACTGGGCCTAGTATCCGAAGACAATGTCACCTCATTGGGCACAAGTCTTGTGGCACTGGCTGTGCCATAGGTTGGTGGTTCTGTGGGAACCAGGCTGGGAACCTTGGGTGTCACTGTGGGTGATGGACCACTAGGTCTCCTGCCAATGTTGGTTGTGGTGGGACCCTTGTGTGCTCTGTGCCTTGGAGCAGGTTGCTTGGGGGTCACCACTGTGTGAGTCTGCTCATGTGCTCTTGGTTGTAGAGCTGACTGAGTGGGAGCCACACTTGGTCTATTTGGTTGTGCAACTGGAATGTTGTTGGCACCAGCTCTGGAAGCTGGTTGCTTACTGGCTGGAGGTTTTGCCATCATGATCTCCCCAGAGGTTGGATGACTACTAGGGCTGGCAAGCTCGATAATCTCCCCATCATCCAACGATGGATGGGCACCAGCGAGGGCATTCAAGGGTGTGGCACTGGGCAGCTGGTGGCTCGTAGCTGGGACACGCATGGGTCGTGTGACAGGCAACTCTCCACAAGCTAGCTTGGGAGATGGAGCCGTGGCTACATTGATGGGCAGCTGGTTGGTGGCCAAGAGGGCATCAGTCAATCGTTGCTGGATAGCAGTGGCATCTTGCTTGGAACGAGTAGCCCTGTGGCGCTGCTGCTTCTTTGGGCTGTGGAGCCGTTGGGTACCAATAGCGCTGTCACCAGTCGGCTTGTGGACGCCATCATCACTGCCCATGGCTGACAGTGGAGTGGCATTGGTCTCCCCATGAACTGGTGGTGTCAAAGCAGGTGTAGGTGCTGTGACAGGTGGCCTAGCAGCTACCATGACCAAGGCTTCCAGTTGAGTTGTCAGTTGGTCCTTCAACGCGATGAACTGAGCTTCCATCTTTCGCTTGAAGGTTTCGTGGTCAGCTCTCATGAGGTCGAGTTGCTGGGCACCGGTGACCTGTTGCTGTTGAAAGTGGATCAGCATGTCTTCCATGGCTGGGGTATAAATGGGATCTGGGTGACAACTGGAGCTGTCAGGAGACAGCTCTGAAATCTCCCCATCACCCAGCTGGTGGTTGGTCCTACCGTAGGCCATGGGTGCCGGCCTCTTCTCAAGGATGTCGAAGGGTGATGTGTATGCGTCTGGTGGGGACACTGTTGACACAGGTGGTGCCGGTGTCTTCTCAAGAATGTCAAAGACGGATTTGTATTCATCTGGTGGTGACACTGGTGGCTGTGTGTCTCGATGCCGGTGGCAGTAGTCTAGGTTGCTGTTGCCAGCTCCATCGTGGTGTGTGGGGCGGGCACAGGTGTAGCTACCTTGGACTTGGGGGGGACCAGAGTAGACGTAGTGCCAGCCACGGTCGGAGTAGCCAGGGGCATAAGGGTCACTCACATCGCTGATGACACCGTAGAAAGACATGGTGCCTCTTGTTATCTGTCACAGGAAGAGGTGTAGGCTGTACTTGGTGGCAACACTGGATCTCACCGCTTGTTGCAGTGCAATAAAGGCTGGCTCAACTGTAATCTGGAATCCACAAAGATGATCTCCAGGAACCTTGCTATGGGCCTGGAAAATTCAATCTAGGTGTAGTTGAATAAGGTAGCCAGTGTAGAGGGTCTGGAACCTCTTTCCTGAACTGCTGTGGTGCTGCAAACTGCCTTGGTTTGTGGGTATTTTGCCACTGAGGATCCAGGCAGCTTTGGGCCAATGAATCTCCCCACACAAGTTGCTTGTACTGAAGGTGAGATACCCACTGACTAAACAAGGGATGGCGGATCCAGTGGTGCTATCTATACTCTCTCAAAACAGTCGCTTCGTTGTCTCGTGACTCTCCGAGTTGGGCTTGGTGTTGCGATCGTTTGCTCGCTCTCCGTGAAAGATCGCGATTTCACGAATTTCAATGACTCGACCACGTAAAACCTTTAAAATGTGAGGCGAAGGATTTACTGAGGCTGAGCCTGCTTTCAGGACAATAACCGGTACGGGGAACGTTGTCGTATAAGTCTTCGTGGATCCAGGATCGAATGGGAGCTTCTTCGCCGTTCCGCGCGACGTAGCAAACTGACTCAGTGCACGTCGTATAAGTACCGAAACTGCACGGACGTTTTGATTGGCTGATTGGCTTCCGTGAAATCGCTGGAGCCTGTACAGGACGGTAACTCGTGACACCGAAAACTGCACGGATGATTCTTCGGCGTTCCGTGAAATTGCTGAAGAGATAAGCCTCGATATCAACAATAAATCACGTAATTCGCTGGAAGAAGCTGAAAGCAATAAGCCCAACGCAAAAGAGATAAGCCGAGTTCCTCAAGACGTAAAAGGCTTGCTCGATGGCCAAGATAGGTGCGAACCCAATAAGTCTCGAGTGCTCCGTTACTCCAGCTAGCTTCTTTCGAGTAAATTGGTTGCTTTTCGCGAACTTCTTTGCTTCGTGCTAGATAGCTCCGTTGTTGCCGTCGTTGATGGTGAGGAAGGTAGGTCCTCGAGGCAATGGCAATGGGCATTGTGTGTTGGAGTTGTAGTTGTAGTTGTATTGGTAGATGGTCAACAAGAAGGTTCCTGTCACTGTGGTGGTGGCTGGAACTATCAAAATCGATCTGAAGGTTGTTGACTTAGGACTTCAAAAGTAGGCTTGAAATCAGCACCAAATTCCAATGAATCAACTGTAGAACAATATATTGTAGTGTAATTCGAAGAGATCCTTTTCTCGTCAAGGAGGTCTCTTCTTCCCTTAAGGACTGCCTGCAAATCTATGCTGACTGTTAATCCAATAAGTTTCTAGAAGTATCAGTTCCAATACTCAAGTAGTGGACTGGTCTCGCTGAAACCCTTCCTCAGGGACAGCGGTAGTCAGGCAGTTCAGGGAGCCTTGTCGTGCCTCAGGAGTGTTCCAACACCTCCAGTAGGCACCAAACCAAGGTCTTTGTCCTGTCAGTCAGACAGGAGGGCCAGCAGAGCTCTCTGCTGGGCCCTTTTGGGCCAGCTCTCCTCAGGAGCTGGGGGCCTTCGTTATTCAATCGTGCAGTGGCAGTCTGGGAACAGTACTATCTGCTACCTCCTACTGCTTCTGCCCGGCCTCAACAGGATTGGTATCAACTGCTGCGGTATCAAAGGGGCTACAAGCTAATCAGGATCGGTCTCAATCTTTCGTACTATTTTCTTAACTATGGTAGAAAGGACGATCCTTTCTTGCTGCTTTGGCTGGAGATAAGCCAGCTGTGGGTGCTGGAGCTGTAGGCCAGCATAGCTGTTGGAGCTATCTCTGACGGGATCCAGAGCTCTCGCTCCTAAAAGTTATCGGAGATTGACAGTGAACCTGCCTCTGACTCCCAACAGATCAAGGATCTGGTCAAGAAAATGGTACAGGAGGAACTGAAACAGACCCAAAAGCAAATTGCCAGAGCCACTGGCAAACATGTCACCCAAGCGCTCAACCAACAGCGCAACAACAATCAAAACAACAACAGCTCAAAAAACAACAGGAGGGGCCCAGCCCAGGGAGGCGCCTCCAGCAACAAAAAGAAATCTCCCCACCAACAACAGTCCGCCAGAGGCGGCAGAACCCAACGAGGAAGGTCCCAGTCCGCCCCAAGAGGCAACCGCCCAAGAAGCCAAAGCAGAGGCCGCCAAGGCGGCCGCGGCGGCAGGGCAGGACGAGGAAGGGGAGGAAGAGCCGGAGGAAGAGGCAACGCTACCTCCAGAGGCTCCACAAGATCGAACAGAGGCCGCTCCAGAAGCTCCTCTCCCAGCAGGAGGCAGAACTCCAACACCAGGAGAAGCAGGTCCTCCAGGCGATCGACAAGGAGATAGAGCTCACATATGGCTTCATCTCAGACCCCGACCTCCATCTACACGACAATGTACAAACTAGACTCCTTCATATGCCGGCCTGGTACTACTTTGCCAGGCCAACCAATCTTGCATACCACGACCTTACCACGACAATTAAGCCCCCACCAGGCCTCTACTCACTGTTGGGCCTGGGCCACAAGTTCATTCCTACACCTAGATACTCCCACACTTGGAATGACATCGAATCAAGCACCCTCACCAGGTTCTCCAGGGACCTGAGGGTGAAAGCCTTCTGTATTGGCCACATGCAGGAGGACAACACAGACAATAACAATAGCAGTGATGAATACAATCCACGAATGCATCTGAAGTCTGACTGGCTCCCACCAGCCCATATGGTGCCCACTCCAGTCATAGACCAGCGCCTTCAGCGCTTCAGCAGCTTCCTCCAGAGCAAATTCAGCCGGAAGAAGAGAGGCAGAGCCAACCTTCTGCCCCACCAGCGGCGTGCCCTCTGCCAACTCAGACGCAACAATGCCCTTATGGTCGTCCAATGTGACAAGAACCTGGGCCCAGCGACAATTGAACGGCATGCCTACATTGAACATGCATTCCGCGACCACCTTGATGATGAAACCACCTATGAATTCATCCCACCCCACAAGGTTGACCACTACAAAGACAAAGTGAAACAGCGTCTCCTGAAGTGGCTCAAGAACTATGGCAGCACTGCCTGCACTGACAAGGAGAGAAAATTCCTCAAAGCTATGATGAAGAAGAATGAGGAACCATTGGCTCATTTCTACTTGACAATGAAAGTCCACAAAACACCCCTCAAAACCAGGCCCATTGTCTCCTACAGTGGCAGCTTGCTGGAGGGGCTGGGCATCTGGCTTGACTCCAAGCTTCAGCCAGTTGCTCAGTCAATGAGATCCTACCTGAAAAGCTCCTTCGATCTCAAACAGGAGCTCATGTCCCTGCAGCTACCACCCAATTGCAAACTCTTCACAGCTGACGCTTCCTCAATGTACACCAACATTCCCACGAGGACAGCCATCACCAAGATCTCAAAGTGGCTCAAAGACAACCAAGAACAGTTCCCAGACCTGCCCACCAAGGCAGTCCTTAAGGCACTGATTCTCATTAACATTATGGAGTGGAGCTTCTTCCACTTTGGTGACACCACATGGCGGCAACTCAAGGGCACTGCAATGGGAGCCCCACAGCCCCACCCTATGCCACCATCTTACTTTGCCATCCTGGAGTCCATTCTGCTTCGATCCTTCATGGATAGTCTTGCAGTTCTGCAGTCTACAGGAGATACATCGATGATGTCTTCGCATATGGCACTGCCGAATGAAGACAACCAGCTCCTGTGGGAGGGCTTCCAAAAGGCAAGAACAACAATGAGTACAAGCTGCACTGGGAGTTCACTGAACTCTCCAGTCAGGTGGATTTCATGGACATGAAAATCACCCTCACACATGACAACAAACTGGTCACCACACTGTATGAGAACCAACCAACTTGTATCTCTACACCCATCCCACTCCTGTCACCACCAGGCCTCCTGTCTGAGTGGTGTATGGCAACCTCTTAGGATCTATACACTCTGCTCTGAGGAGACTGACAGGCTCGCCAGGACCAAGCTCTTCTTCAAGAGGCTCCTGGCCGGGCTACCAAGCCACCACATTAGGCCCCTTTTTGAAGCAGCAATCCAGGGCAAGGGCCTACACTGCCCCCAGCCCAACAACAAAAAGAGGGACACCATGGGAATCAGCTGCTGCACCTGGAATACCATCCCAAGGACCCCCATCAAAGGTCTTCCAGCAAGGCTGGAGGGATTGCATTGCCAATCCCACGAACCTGATGCCCTTCAAGCATGTCGGATCCCACACACAGTGGGCCCATGCGAGGCAACATGCCAATGGGACTGGATAGGATGATTTAGCCTACTCCAGGCCCCCCAATCTTGGCAACCTACTGTCCTACAGGAAGTTCCAGAACTAGATGGCTCCCCGTCTCATCCTTTCTGGATTAGAGGCTTGTCGGGGAGCATGGCACACACACCCACACACCAACACACCTACACACACACAACACACATCCAGCCCATCGAGGTATTGGATTTACGGTTTAGTTTAGCTTGGTTTCGGTCTATACCATACCGGCTCTATGTGTCTATTTCAAAATCACCACAAACAGGTACCCTTGCTTTTCTCACAGCCTACCCGGCTTGTATCTTTTGCCATCCCCAGCTTGCTCCACTGATGAAGCAAACAGCGAAATTCCTAAGCTCAGAATTTGGAAATCAGCAAGCAACGGTAACCCCATGGATAAACATCCAATGGTAGATTCGTCGTAGATTAACTCCTAGTAGTGTCTACACACATCTCACACAACACCACACATCTCACACAACACTCAACGTACACACACCTAACACACACACATCCAGCCCATCGAGGTATTGGATTTATGGTTTATTTACTTGGTTTCGGTCTATACCGTACCAGCTCCTATGTGTCTATTTTCGAAATCACCACAAACAGGGTACCCTTCTTTTCTCACAGCCTACCCGGCTTGTATCTTTTGCCATCCCCAGCTTGCTCCACTGATGAAGCAAACAGCGAAATTCTTAAGCTCAGAATTTGAAATCAGCAAGCAACGGATACCCCATGGATAAACATCCAATGGTAGATTCGTCGTGATTAACTCTTAGTAGTGTCTAACACATCTCACACAACATCACACATCTCACACAGCACTCACGTCAACCTACACACACCTCACACACACACACACACACACACATACAGCGATAAAAGTGTGAAAGACCTCAGTCGGTTGAGGGCAAACGCAAGTAAGACATTCAAATGGGAACCAAAAATTCTAGCAAACAGCGAAATTCTTAAGCTCAGAATTTGGAAATCAGCAAGCAACGGTATACCCCATGGATAAACATCCAATGGTAGATTCGTCGTAGATTAACTCTTAGTAGTATCTTCACACATCTCATACAACATCACACATCTCACACAGCACTCAACGTACACACACCTACACACACACATCCAGCCCATCGAGGTATTGGATTTATGGTTTAGTTTAGCTTGGTTTCGGTCTATACCGTACCAGCTCCTATGTGTCTATTTTCGAAATCACCACAAACAGGGTACCCTTTCTTTTCTCACAGCCTACCCGGCTTGTATCTTTTGCCATTCCCAGCTTGCTCCACTGATGAAGCAAACAGCGAAATTCTTAAGCTCAGAATTTCGAAATCAGCAAGCAACGGTATACCCCATGGATAAACATCCAATGGTAGATTCGTCGTAGATTAACTCTTAGTAGTGTCTACACATCTCACACAACATCACACATCTCACACAGCACTCACGTACACACACCTACACACACACATACAGCAATAAAAGTGTGAAAGACCCTCAGTCGGTTGAGGGCAAACACAAGTAAGACATTCAAATGGGAACCGAAAATTCTAGCATGTCGACTGCAACAGGCCGCCAACAGGCGGCCAGACCACGGGAATCGCGACAGGACTTAGAGGAGACTCTCCACCGGTACACATTGCGTAAATACTCTGATCTACCCTCATGACTACAAATCCTGTATCAGTCCTGTTTGGTGCAATCTCGACTCCGGTGTTGTCGCGACTGCATCCTGCCATACCGGGAACCACGGCCACAAACGCAATGAAGAGAGCCAGTGAAGATCCACAGTCAAACAGATTGATCCGTACTGCTACCACTGTTCTATTATCAAGTGTGTTATGATTGAAGGTGCAGCACTGACTTCTCTCGCCCATTGAAGTTCTATGGTAAACAGCCAGGAGAGAAAGTCAAGCTTGACCGACAACAGTGGTAGCTACCGGTAGGAGGAGTTCTTTATTCAATCGTTCGATCAAACGACTGGTTCGGTATGAGTAAGCCTGTTATCAAGAGTGTTATTGAAGGTGGAGATTCGAAAGCTATCCCTCATTCATTTCTATGGACCATCCCTCATTGAATTGCTATGTCAGATCTTGGCCGCCAACAGGTGAGTTGTTTTAATTATTCATCGGATCGATCGCACCTCTGTTATATCCAGGCCTCGCCCAAGCCATCTGCCAAGCGAAAGCCATCCCTCATTGAATCATATGGACCATGTGATGGCAGTCAGCTCTTGGCCCCGATCGATCGATTCGAGGTAAACCTATTATCAAAATTGAAGGTGCAGAATCGAAAGACATCCCGCAAATTTTTAGATCTCTGCTGTCAACAGGTGAGTTGGAGGTTTATTCGAATGAATCGATCGCACCTCTGTTATCCAAGCTTCCACTCAATCCGACCTTCTCTGGTGCAAAACAGAAAGCCATTCTCCTTGAAATCATACCAGCTTGGGAAGGTTTCTTGAAGTATGAGAATTTGAAGAGCAATGGTACATCACCGGTTTTCTTCAGTTCAGCACAGAAAACAAAACTCATATCTATTGGTTGTTTTCTCTGCTGCACTGTCGACAGCCGAGGAAATACCAATGCGCCCTTTTCACTCGATCGATCGCTCTGGATAACAGGAGGGGAGGCTGCTGTCGATCAATCGCTACTGCTTTTTCAACTCCAATCCTGTCAGCATCCTGAACAGATCGTCATTGAGTCATTGAAACGGAAACAAGAGGAGGCTATACCACAACACACGAGAGATTGGATCCTGCTATTGAATTCATCAAGGGCTCCATTTCCTAGTGTTTTGGTGGTGATTCGGACGTCGGTACTCGACTACTCATTTCCTCAGGCCGATATTCGCAAGTCCTGGAGCGGCTTGCTGGTTTTTACCCAGAGGAAGATAGATCACAAGCTAGAGTAATAGAATAGAGACTACTTGGAAACCAATACCGGTAGTACTACTAGTAGCCAACCTTGCTTGTGGATTGGTCGACGGTGGTACCGGTAGTGATGGCCTTGCAGCTTCTTGCTTGTGGTACGTGCTGGTACCGGTACCGATAGATTAATTGGCATGAGGAGTTTACCACTTCTCACTTTTCATACTTTGCACAGACCTCAAGAAATCGTGGTCCTTGGTCACCACTCTTCCAAGAACATCCCATTACTCAGTCTACATACGACCTTCTATCCCTCTACGACTACTTGGCAGCCAACCCCGAAAAGACTTCAAGGACGAAATAACCTCATCCCTAAACCTAAACTGACATCACTCGAGCACTCGGAACGATCAATCCAAGCCACTCGCTCCTCGCACCTCTCTATTTTTGCCCTCAACCGACTGGAGGATGGGAATGATGACACGAATGACATGAACAAGTAAAGAGAATTCGTGTTAAATCTTTTTTAAAAACTCGTGTTTCAAATTTATTTGTGTTTCAAATTCGTATTTCAAATTCGTGTTTATTCGTGTTATTTCGTGTTAAATCGTGTTAAATCTTGTTAAATCTTGTTAAATCGTGTTTATTCGTGAACGAACCGTTAACATTAATGAACCGTTGACGAAGCGTGAACGAAACATCTTTGCGGCCGTTTATTAGCAGTCCTTAAGTACTTGTACTCTGTAAGAACTCGGAACGAATCGTTGAGTATTTGTGTGCACTCGTGTTAAATCGTGTTGAATCGTGTTAAATTGTGTTAAATCATGTTAATTCATGTTAATTCGTGTTAATTTGTTTATTTCGCATTAATTCGTTTTAAATTCATAAAAACTCGTTCAAATTCGTGAAAGCACTTTGTGAAAATTTCGTTTTCTTAGGAGTTTTCATCGTAAATCGTATCAGCATCCCCATCCTCCTGAGGGTCTTTCACACTTTTAATGCTGTATGTGTGCTTGTTAGTGTGTACGTCTCTGTGTGTGAGTGTGTGTGTGTGTAGGTGTGTGTACGTTGAGTGTTGTGTGAGATGTGTGATGTTGTGTGTGTGTAGGTGTGTGTGTGTGTAGGTGTGTGTGTATGTATGTGTATGTTTGTTGCAGCTGTTTTGTCACATTAGGGACACTTTCTGTTAAGGATAGGATTATATTGTTGCGTCTGTTGGACACAAGTAGTTTCTACACATGGCTACCAGTACTAGCTGGCTATGCAGACTCGCTAGTGTGTCCAGGTAAACACGGTATAGGTTTGGCCAAAGACATAAGGGACGCTTGCTTCGTTAAGGATAGGGATTAATATTGTGTGTTCTGTTGGACACAGTAGTTTGGACACATGGGTACCCGTACTGGCTGGCTATCGAGACTCGCTAGTGTGTCCAGTTGAATACGGTAAATGATTTGGCCAAAGATGTTAAGGATAAGGGACTCAAATCTCTTTTTGACAGTTGAGGGCATCAGCTTTCGGCTGCTTGGGTTTCACAAGCTGCTGTGACGAAGATTATAATTTCGTGTGTAAACTTCATGTGTGATGGTAACAAAATTTATACATTTATACTACCGGTATGGAGCTAAATTTATACTACTGTACATGTATGGGAATCTCCTTCTTTGTGCACTACGCTAAAAGCTAGTGTAAAGATCTTTCGAGTGTTTTGAGTTTGAGAGAATGAAAGTTATGAGAGAGATTAGAAAGCTATGAAAACTAATCAACGAGAGAGATCATCATCAAGGGATCGTAGATCTGGTCTCCCGCGGGAGACTATAAAGTGTGATAGAGTAGGTTGCGGTAGTAATTCTACGTATCTCCACGATCCTAAAACGGAACGCGTGGAAGATTTGTCTAGCATGGATCTAGTAGCGTGGAAGTGCTCCACGCTGGCTAAATATCTAGAGCGATGTTTCATCATCAACCAAGTATGACCAGCGCGGTCATTGAGAACCCTGTCTCAAATGACTATTCACGAGAGACTCAGTCATGAGTCGAACTCAAACCCTATCTAGGATCGAGTCGCGAATAAGGCTAAGAGCCGTGTATTGCAGTACACAAAGCAATCCATGAGACTCGCTCTTCCAACCATGCTTCCAGTGGCTGCGTCTCCAATGAATGCACCCACCATAAAGCAACAACATTGCCGCCAACACTTACTTGCGCCCAATGATCGCTTCACTAAGTCTTGCTTGCTTTGCCTTTCAAGAAGCAACAGAGCCAACTAACTGCTACCGTATTGTTGCTTGCAGGAGCGTTCCTCAATCGTGCATGAAACCGACCCTAAAATAGGGTTGGATTTAGGGTCGGATTCCCTTTAGGGTCGGGTTTCGAAACCGACCCTAAAAATAGGGACGTTTTCTGAAAAATAGGGACGGTTTCTGAAAAACCGTCCCTAATTTAGGGTCGGGTTTCGTTTTAGGGTTCGGTTTGAAAAACGTCCCTAAATAGAAACGGGACTGCCTGGTAAATACATTGAAAACGCACCAATATTAGGGTCGGGTTTCGAAACCGACCCTAAAAATAGGGACGTTTTCTGAAAAATAGGGATGGTTTCTGAAAAAACGTCCCTAATTTAGGGACGGGTTTCGATTTAGGGTCGGGTTTCGAAACCGTCCCTATATTTAGGGACGGATTCCCCCAAACCGACCCTAAATTAGGGTCGGATTTAAAGTCATGCACGATTGAGGAACGCTCCAGATCACTGACAACATCCCCCCTCCCTTCATTGGCACGGGAATTGCGCGGAAACGAATTGCAGTCTCCAAGGCGCAGCCAAAGAGTCGAGATTTCCATCCATGGCGATGCTTGCAAGCTGAGCGCTCGAGCTGCTCGATTCCTCCCTCTGAGGCATGGAAGATGACTGTCGCAATCAAGCTAGATAGGATGGTCAAAGATTCTCCACCTGCCTGTCCCGCGTCGGAGCCATGCGGTAGTTACCTTCCCCAGGAATCTCGCTCCTTATTTCATTGGGATGAGAACATGCGAACTCAATCTGAAGCATGATCGAATCCCTATTTCATTTTTGTTGAAATCCGAAGACCAAGATGGGTGAGTAGCTGTGAGTGTACCGGTACCAATGTCAAGAACAAACGCTCTCGTCAGCAGAAATACCAAGAGGTGAGAGGTGAAACCGGTACCAATGTATGTCATGAAAAAAGCGGGGAAGCTTGCTCCTTTGGACAGTCAGAAGCCTTTGGGACACGAGAGGGGTTCTCAAGGACGATGAATTCGGAGTCAAAATTCTTCCATAGAAATAGATAATGACGCTGAGGCATGTGACGCTTACGGCGACTGGAAACTTGCCTCCCTGCGGTAGCCAGAGCACCACAAGCAAATGGGATTGAGAGAAGCGTCTTCTTCCTCCTGGGTGGTTCGGCAACCACTCTTGAAGCAAGCTCAAAGTAGTATTCGAAGCTTCCCCTTGCTTGCTGCGCTGATGACATGGTGGGAGTGACTCTTCTTCGCAGCCTCTCTTTTGGCCAGCCAAACCAGAGTGCTTCGTAGTCTAGCTATTAATAGCTGCATCATGCAACACCGAAAAGCAACCTAGTGGGCGGATGGAACTGGGTAGCTGGATGTATGTGTGGCTGCGAGAGGAATGTGTGAGTGAGTGAGTACGAAGTAGTTTGTATGTTTATAGCTGTTTGTATGCAGCTTAGCAACCCTTTTCATAGCAAACATCCGGTAGAAGAAATTACTGATGCTTCCCTTCAAGCCCAAGGCCCAAGGGTCCATCTTTCACGTCTTTCGGTAAAACGAAGCAAACCCTTCTATTTGTTGCGGTCCCCAAGAAAGTTCTGGTGGATCGCCTAAAATCCACTTTATTGTAAAAGAAGCCATGTGGTCTTGGATATCGCTATGCCTTTCACCATTACATCATGATGTATGTACTCTACTAGACTCAAGCTCTCAAGCCGGCACTCACTACGTCCCCACATCCCCATCACCCCCGCCAGCAGCTGCCATAGGAGCATGCTGTGGTAATAATATTATCTTCTTTCCAATGGCATGGGGCAGGGGCAAACCGCAGTGGCCGTTGTTTATTGTAGGTCCATTTTGTTCTCACTAATAACTCCGAGGAAGAGAATGACAATTCTTGGTTGAAGAAACACCTGAGAAAGAGCACATATTTGTTATGTCATTTTCATTCCCCTACCTTCTTTACGTGAAGGTTTCTTATACCGTTCTATCTTGATGGTCAAAACGTCAAAACTTGCATACGTGGCTTGTCTTGGAACTGACGCCACGACTTTTGAAGCCTCAGTTTGAAGCCTCTCTCATCTCTTATTGTGGGGTACCAAGCTGTGGGGTACTGGTAGCACCGGGCGGAGCACCCAGTCTAAAATGGATGGAAGAGCTATGGAAGCATGGAAACTATCACCACTGGGACGGGCCAATACCGTTGACAAAGGAAGACCTGCGTGTAATCTTTTGACTGCTGTTCGGGTAGATTGATGAGCTCTAGCTGGGTAGACTTGTTGAAAGGTGCTGACCTAAAGATTGAACCTTCCGCTACCTGCCAATGTCTTGATGAGTACTAGCTAGCTACGGTGTTCTAAACTAAAGATTATACAGGTACCGGTACGGTAGGTCATGGTTGTACAGGTAATACATGTCTAGATAGATAGATAGATAGATGAAGTATATGCATATGTGAGAGATGGATATCGATAGGTTTTTCACAGCATTATACTGGTACAGGTAGGTTGCTTCTTCACAGGCACAAGACAGGCAGGAATATTATTAACAGGCAGACAGTTGTGGATTCGGAGTGGCTTTGACGACCATACTGAGACTGCGATTGGCACTGCGACTGCGTCGTCGACGACGGGGCTTTTCCATCTCGGCACTGCGGCGTCGGTTGGGGGATCGATGACGAATGCCCGCGAGTGAGTTCATGTCGCGAAAGCTATCATTGAGCATCATATTGGGGACATTACCCGGTCGACTCTTGCGTTGAAAGCAGAGAACTTGCACGACATCATTGCCCAGTTCTTTGATTTGAGCTGCAACTTCGGAGGCTTCCCATGTAGATCGTGTCGCCAGAATCTGTCCTCCACTCGCCATGGCTTCGACTTGACGGGCCCGTTCCATGGTATCACCCGTATACTCCAACCGTCCCGTGACGGCATTGGTTCGTGCGTAGACAGGCCCCATGTGAATGGCCACTCTTACACGCAGACCTCGGTCTTGTGTCACGGGACATTCTTGTGCTTCTTCCAGTTCGAGAATGTCATCGCCCCAGGGAGCATCCCGCAAGGCTGCCTGAAGTCCCAATGCAAAGCTGAGGGCATCCTTGGCCGTATGAAATGCCATGGTAAAGGCATCCCCCTCCGTGTCGACTTCGTAGCCGCCGTGTTCGGCGCGATGTTGACGGATAATCTCATCGTGCAGATTCAATGCTTCGCGCATGGCCTTGGGGTCGCTTTCCCATAACGCCGTCGATCCCTGGACATCCGTCAAGACAATGGCGGCCTTTTCCGTCGGAGGTCCCGATGGTAGATCGGATTGTCGTAGTAAGCGCTTTTGATTCTCCATGCGAATGAGTAGAGACAGAGCTTCGGCCGACTGTGCCACACACATATTCTCGAGCTTATAGTTGGTTTTGGGAGCGGCGCGGTAGTTGGAAGAGTCATCGTCCGAGGCATAACTGGCATGGGATCGATCTCCAAACGACTTGTTGTAGCGCAACTTGGGGGCACGGGACATCTTGGAGTTGTGGTTGTTCTCATCGTCCGAGCCACCACAACTGGCATACGAGCGATCGCCAAAGGAGCGATTGTATTTGAGCTTTGGGGGACGGGGTAGCCTAGTAGAACGACCCGAAGAAGTCCCAAGCCCATCGGTGCTGTCGGTCGTAGTAGAGCAGGTATCCCCATCGTCAAAGCCAACGCTTCGGTCACTCACGTTGATACCGCCATTATCCAAGACGTATTTACGGCAGACACAAGCTAGTTTGCGCTTGTGCAGTCGGTTCGTGATACCCATGGTTTCTAACTGAATCAAAAGACTGTCGCCCTTGAGATACGCCAATTCGCTGCCGGTAATGCCAGATCTGATAATGGCGGCTTCGTATGCCTTGAAACTGTTGCCTAGCGTACCCACATAGGCAGCAATATCGGAGGCATTGATGTCCTCTAAGGACTTGGAAGGACTGGTACCCATGATTTGTTTGTGTTTTACTCAGAGTACTAGTATGTATTTGGTGTGTGCTGAGTTTGTTGGGAAAGGAAAATATGGGGATGGAATCAGACTGGAAAGGAACTGCCACTATGCATACCGGTAGCACTTCCGTTTGGGTAGCATGATACGATACGCTCACCAGGAAGTAAGAAAGCGAGATGATGACAAAAAGAAAACTGGGTGGTTGACTGTGGGTGTTCTACTGGTCATACTCAAAGCCAGACGGTAGATAAGACGTACATAAGGTACCGCCACGAGCCAGTAGGCGTTTGAAGATCATATCCAATCCACGAGGAAGACGCAGGTAAGGTCAGTACCGAAGGCATAATGACCATCGAAATAGGAAGCATCTTGCCCTTCATTTTGCGGGGCAATACCAGCCAAGACCAGGGACAAAGAATCGGAAAGACTGCTTGGGTTACGCAACTACAAGTTCATACTTGAATCCACCTGATGTTCCACGCACAGCTACGTACGCACCGTAGATTTCACCGCTTAAATTTTAATACAAGTCTAGACACTTTAGAGCAAGAAAAGTTAATTGGAGGTTGCGGGGAATGGACTTTTACAGAGCTCCTTTTGGTGAAACTGCAAGATTGAGTGTATTTTCCACTTCGATTGGCATCTAGCCATGCATAAATATATAAATTCAACAATACTTCCAGAGAATCTTTCATATTCACTGTTGTTCTTCCACTATTCATTTGGAAATACTATCCAAGTTGTCAATGGAAAGTTGACTATTCCCGCAACTCCAGTCGCTGCAGGTGCTTTTGACAGGGAAGCGTAGAAGCAGGCGCGACACTGACTCAGCATCTGCGTGCCTACTACCATAAACACGTTGGTTCTTCAGAGAGTTCACAGATCTTCCATGAACCCCCCAACTGCGGATAGTGACCGAGCAGCATCAAGATAAGTGGTTCTTAGACCTTGATGGTAAGATTACTTATACCGGTACTCTTAATCTACAATAATATTGCACTGGTACCTCTACGGTACCGGTATGATCATCTGCTCTTGTTGCGTTGATGGGATGGTACCGGCGCTGTCCCGGTACCTGGTACCGGTACCAACGAACTTTGCAGCCAACACCACAAGAATGTTCAGATACAAAAGTACTTCACCTACCTCAAACAAGAGATCAAATGCATGCTAAAGGTAGAAGAAAGGGATGGATAAATAGATTATTCTAGTTTTGCTTTGGTTGACCTAAACTGCTTCATTGCTTTGAATGCAACAAGCAACCTCTGCTTGAGCGTTTTGGTGGGTTTCAGAACGGAGAAGAAAGAATAGGAAGATGGTATCTTGACGAGAGTACTTGCAGAAGCTTCCTTGTTCTAGCTGGTACTGGTAAGAGTGAAGTCTAGCACGACGAGCAAAGTTCCTCGGACAGAATCGAATCGATTGAATCTGCCTGCTTCCTGATTCAGGGTGCGTTCTTGGGTCAGTCTGCTGAATAGAATAGTTCAAGACTAGCTAGCTAGTAGGATACAAGAGAAGATGCCTCAATGATTTTGGCAGCTTCTTTCCCCCATCTGCCATTGGTTTACTCCTGCTATCAACCAACCACCAGGACTTGAAGAAGCATGAATTCAGTTCAAAGTTCAATACAGACATACCAGGCAGATTTTATGGAGGCCAGATGAGCCGTGCGCCTGCTCTACGAGTACGGAAAGAACTCCGGTGCCAGACAGAACGTTGTAGTTGCAAACCTCCCAAAACAGAGCATCATCGCATCATCATAGATCGTTACATTAGTTTCTTAAAATCAGAGCATAAATTAGTGCCCTGGAACAATCCCGGATCAGAAAGTACTTTCCGGGTCAGTTTAATGCTGGTTTGCAGAGATTTGTCAGTCGATGACACCTTCCCTTTCAATTTTTGACCGTACTGGGTAAAATCAAGCTTTTATTCTGTTGCAATCCACCGGTGGTGTCGCCATGACATGGTTACCGGTACCGACGGTAGCGTAGTCAGTAGCCGACGGTGCAGAGTTCTCAGTTTCGAGCTCGAAACCTTCCGCTTGACAGAGAAACATACATGGTTCCTTTGGGGCACTTCTCCTCCACCTCGATACCGTGTTGAGTGTGGTTGAGTCACTTGAATTGCAGAGTGCGCAAGCAAGTACAGTAATCAAATAATCATGCACTCCGCCGTATCGGAAGGTTTCGCCCAGCACTTGTTAGACAATTGGATGGCAAACTGTGGCTTTGCAGCTTCTGCATCCAACGACGTCCAGTGGACTCGACGCTGTCGCCTGTCGCTCAGGCTATGCATTGGTCCATGACTGGTGCCTTCCACCGGTCATGATCATGCAAGTAATAAGAAGTGCAGAAACCTCGAGGCGCCATAGCTTTGAAACATGGTCATCTGATCCAGCAATAAGCAAACACCGATCAACAACATTTTGCAATCACACTTGTGCGCTTTAATTTTGAACTTTTCCACGCCCCTCATTGGCTCGATGTGTTGACGGCCCATGAGGGCCATACATAAAACGATAGTTAGCGTGAAGAAATAAGATCTTAAAAGAAATAAGATCTTAATAAGCAGAAACCGCCGTACCAGTACTCTGGTACTAGTCTACCTTTGTTTGTTATTGTATCTGCGCTACATGTCCACACATGGGCAATTTGTAGCCATCCAGCATTGGTCTACCCTATGGCCAATACTTGCACAGGGCGGAACACAAGGGAACAAGCAAGGGAATGACTCTTCCAGTCAAACATATCCAACCAGCTACTTCCAACCGGTGCAAGAGATCTGCCACCACTTTACCATAGCTAGCTAGTAGAACATCCCGGGATTGTTGATGGCTTGATGGCTGGCCGGCTACTCGTGCGGCAGAGAAAGACCGAGATCACTGGTACCGGCGGCTAGCTAGGTACCGGTCGCTAGCCAGCAAGCGGTGAGATGCTGATACCGGTACGCAACTGGCCGCTGCCTGATGCACGTAAATGCGTACATGTATTTTGCGTTGTCTTAGCTTTCTACCAGCAGCAATAAATCCTGAACGCATCTCCAGTCAGAGCTTCAGTGCTCGGTACTGCTCGGCTGGATTTATCTGTCAGGACCTGCATGGTACCTACACCAAGCGCAATTATCCTGATCCGTCGCAGTAGGAGCTCCGGTACGGTACCGGGAAGGGCGGGCTACTCGTACAGTACATGTATGTTGCCGAATGATGGAAGCTATGATAGATATTAATGCATACACGTTCTACAGAGCGAGTACTCCAGTACTCTGGATAGATATCAAGTACTCGTAGTAGCAACCAAGGCGCCCCCCTCTAAGTCCTGCCTTGCAAAGCAATTCATCTGCTTCATGGTGTACTCGAGTGGGCACTGCTCCCCTGTCTCCTGATACAATCAAGATCAAGAGGGCCGGATGCATGATAAATCCAGGTTTAGATCTAATCAAGTCCTCCTTTAAAGCGGTTGGTTTCAAACCGTTTCCACTGTGCAAAACCTGAGAGCTCTGCATACACCGGTACTAATATGGGCCGGGTAGCGCTGCGTACACGAAGTGGTCTTGTACTAGTACCTTAGTCCTGATCCGACTTCTCATCCACGGCCATGCACCAACCTTCTAGAGAGAGATTCTGCCAAGAAGCATCGAAATGCACTTGCTGGTCGCTCGACCAGTGAGCAATCAGAAAGGTTGGCTCGCCGTCGTCGTCTTGCAAAATATCTTTCAAAGTGTCGCGAGTCCTCGCTGAACGGTATGTCCACTTTTCCTGGTCTTCTTCTTGACGTGGGCCCGTGTTGATTGTACTATTCAGCTAGCAACAGCTACTCGAGTACCGGCATCTAACCTGACATGCCTGGACTAGAAACCGGCAACAAGCGTAGAATGTATAACCACCAACAAAAAGTCAACACAGCCAGAGGCAGTCAAGGTGGAGTCACGGTGGATGCGCATGGGAAGAAACCACTAGGTGTTGCTGGCATACGGAGCGACGAACCAAAGATGAGCCTCCTGCCTTAGTGTGCCCCTTTTTGATCGTACTCGTTGCCGTACATTTCTTGAAACTTTTTGGCAATGTCATGAAGCCGTTCCAGATACTTTTCGAGCTGCTGCTTCGTTTCTTCTTCGGTCGGCTCTTCTTCCCACAACGGTTGAAATGCCAAGATGTCTCCAAAATCCCAAATCTGACGGAGCATGCGAAAGAGTGGTATCAATCGTTTCTCTTGGGTGGAAAAGGGGCGGACGGTTTGATATCCCGTGAGAAAGAATGGGATCCCGTCGGAGCGAATCATGGCCGCCGCGTCGTAGATCCTCCACCCGTACGACGAATGATCCCAATCAATGACGGTAAAGGTTTGTGTGGTGTCGTCCCAAAAGAGATTTCCCGGATGCAAGTCCCCATGAATCAATCCGTAGTAGGGTGTTTCTTTCTTGAGAGTCAATGTCAATAGATCCCGCATGGCTTGGGCTGTGGGTTGGAAAAAGTCTAGATGATTGTTCTGAGTCTCCTTATTGTTGCTGTTGCACTTGGAGAGTTCTTGCTGCAGAATCTCCAATGGTTTGTGAAGTAGATAGGTGGATACATCTTGATGGTATCGCTGGTACTGATTGGAATTTGGATATTCATCCAAGGCTTGGTGCATCCGCGCTTGCAACTCCCCCAAAATGTGGTAGTGGGCGGGTGTGAATTGCATCTCTTCCGCTTCGATCCCCTGGGCAAATTCGAACAGAGCCGCGTGTCGTGTGTGCGTCGTTCCATTGTCATTCTCAAATTGGATGTGGCTCAACCAATCCCCCGTGTTGGACTGGATGGGTCTCACAGTGGGAATACCGTGTTGTGTGGCCAAGTAGTCTGTCATTTCCAATTCGAATCGAAAGTCATCCGGGCTCTGTATGTAATACTTGTCATTCAGATACACACGCAAGACATACTTTGTCTGGTTTTCCATCTCTACGACATAGTTGTGGTTAAAGCCAGCTCGAATCAGCTGGCACTGGATGGGTGTTCCCACGTTGTATTGATTAGCCACCGTCTCGGCAATGGTATCCGTTGGCAAGACTTGGTTGGACCCCAGTTGCTTCTTCTTCTTCTTGCTCGTTGTCTCCATCTGGCTCGAACTTCAGTTCTGAAACCACAAGAAAGCCACGACGGTCACTGCCAAGAGGAGGAAACACTTGTGCTTATCCTTGCATCTGTGAAAGGAAGAGCACGACAAAAGACGATGGAGATGTCATCGGCGACGATCTTTGGAAGGAGCGAAGATCGAAGATCCAAGAAGGAAATGCCGTTCGAGGGTGAGTAATGGTATCAAAACAGCTTTTACTGGCTTACACAAACGCCAATGCCACCATGCCACCATCATTTCGACCGTTCCCATTCCACACAACAGATCCGAAGCCGCAAACAAACTAACTTGTGATGGACCTGCAAATGGCCATGCATGTGCCACACACAACCAGTCAACTTCGTACTCAAAACTGCAAGCGAGAGAGAGAGAAAGCAAAAGTCGTAACCATGCCGATAGAATTCACTCATGAACGATCGGGAGGTGGTCGTCAAGATGATGCCCCGTCGACGGGTCTCCGCATATTGTGTCTCCATGACGAACATTCCAGTGCCTCGGAATTAAAGACGCATCTGACCCTGTTGGGGGATCGATTGTACCAGAAACACGGAATTGACTTGGTGTACATCAACAGTCCCTTGTGCACGTCACAATTGGGGGGAGAAACGGACCGCATTTGGTATGATACGACTGTAAAGCAGGAACTGTTGGGTCTGGATGCGTCCTTGTGTTTGTTGCAGCAGATATGGACGTCCATGCCTTTTTGGGGAATTCTAGCGGTAGGCCAAGGTGCCGCTGTGGGGTCCTTGCTGTCGCTGCTTCCAGATGTCAAACCGAGAGCCAAATTTGGAATCTTTATTCAGGGTGAAGCGTTGATTCAAGAAGCCGAGCAGTTGGTGGATGCCGGGGATGATTGGGATTGTTTGCATATTGTAGGTGAGTGAGTTGAGGGAGCAAACTTTTGGCAGTGCCTGTGGAAAACAGCAACTTACGGGAGTAATTTCATTCATGCCGTTCTGCTACTAGATCCCAATGTCAAGACTGAGTCGGGAGGAAGGCTTATCCAGCAGTTTGGAGGTGCTGCACACCAGATATCTAGGAATGGAGACGACGAGGGCTATTCGAAGAAAGTATTGAACCTTATTGGCAAGGTAGGTACAGTATGCAGGCTGAAGCCCTCCAGAGTTTTCTGGTTGCAACGTGTCATCTCAACTCATTGCCTGCGCTCACTTGACTTTGCTTATGCAATACCGGTATCTTGGTTCCTCCCCATAGTTCATTATTGAACAAAAGAAAAAGATACGACAAGATGGGGGTGAATGCCAAGCATTGGCACTCCAGAATCAACTACACATTGTGGAACAACAAGCTTCTCGCTTGATTGCTCAACAAATTGCACAGAATCCACCCAGTGTGCTCATGGCAGTTGTGGCACCCAAAGAAGTGGCAGCTGGTGGCATGAAACGAAGAGCCCCAGGGGAAGAGGGAGGTGGAGCTCCCTGTCCTCCAGAATTCTTGTTGAGAAGAGATACCAGGGCACAATTCGATTCCAATGGGACTTCCAGTCGGGTACATCCAGAAGATAGATCAGTGCAGCAAGAAGAATCGTAAAAAGTGCAGTAATGGAAATGACGACAACTTGGAAAGGAGCCACAACCTCCCTGAATAATTGATATCATAGATGGAAGCACCCGGAGGGGGGGCACCACAATGTTTGACAAAAGAGGTACCCGTACGCTAGCTTCGACAGCTGCTTCGACCCTGAAGTCGCCATACGCATAGCAGCCTTGGTAGAACGCGCGAAGGGAGATTCTTGGAAAAATCCTCGACTTGAATGCATTCTAGAAGCTATAATAGTTGCCACACAGAATCTTGGATCAGTTTCCTTCGCTGCAAAAGTACACATGATAGCTATTGCAACATTGGACTGTACGAGTCTAGATGTTGGTGTGGGTTCGGTCTCGTCAACGAGGATTGTCTGGCCGTTGCGGGGGGCGATTTGTAGTAATGTCTTCTTTCTCTGTAGCTTCGGAGGCTTTGTGATACGGCTGCACCGTACGGAGTCCTGCTGTCGAAGTGCCATTGAGGAGAAAGTGGCGAACGAGAAGAGAAACTACACTGGTGTGGAGGACCAAGGTGGAGAGCACGCAGCTTCGCGGGCGCAACCGAAAGTCGACGGAGGATCGGGCGGAACGGAGGGGGTCGTCAAAAGTGCTTGTACCGCAACCGTACCGGACGCAGAATTTCGGAGGTCATGGAGTATGGGTACTGAGTAAGCCAGTACTCAGTACCCGTACTACATCGAGTACCCGCAGCAGGTACTCATGAATCGAAACCCGACCTAAATTAGGGACGGTTTTTCAGAAACGTCCCTATTTATCGTATGGGTCGGTTTCGAAACCCGACCCTAAGGGAATCCGACCCTAAATTCCGACCCTATTTTAGGGTCGGTTTCATGCACGATTGAGGAACGTCCTGCTATCTCGCAGGCAGGTATGGACGTCTCACCCTTAATCATTCAAGTAGCTGGTCTCTCAAAATGAATCAATCTTATTCCAACACTCGGTCACAATACTCGCAACGATCGGAGCCCAACACTGCTATTGTGCACTGGCTCCCAAAGAATTCTCTACCAATACTGCTGAGTTTCGCACTAAAACGCTTGCACTAAAACGCTTGTACCATATTTTGTCAACCTTGTCGTGCTTCTGGCTTTGTTGTACGACTCAGGTTTCGGGAAATAAAAGGTATTGCTGCCTTCAACCAGAAATTAAAAGGTATTGCTGCCTTCAACCAGCATGCAGAAGCACGTCCGATTTCCTGTGCAATTGTACAGGATCCAACCTCCTGTACAATTGCACAGGAATCACGATTCTCCTGTACAATTGCACAGGAATCACGTCGATCCTGTACAATTGCACAGGAATCACGTCGCCTGTACAATTGCACAGAATCACGCTCGCCTGCCAGGCCAAAATTTGACTGCAGCTGGCTCTCTAAAATCCTGTTCATATGCACAGCTGTATGTAGTGCTCTCTACCCCCTGTCCTGTCAAAGACACGGTGACTTGCATGTTCTCTTCGAAGCTGTCGTGACAGATTTTCTACAAGATCACAGCACAGTACCGAGCGTTTTGGATGCTTGCGTGCACAGGCGCGCTCTCGCGATGCGTTTGCGATGCACTGCGGCCGCACCCAGAGCTGCCGACGAAGTACTAAAGTACCAGTACTAAGGTTCTCATGCTGCGTTCTGTTGCTGCCACTCGCGCCTCATCAAAAGAGTTCACTAAATATCAAGACACAACCAAAGCAATTACACACACCATGTCCACCCTATCGTCACTTGAGAAATACAGCTTGTTTCGTGGGACCTTGATGCTGGCAATCAGTGTGGTAGTTCCATTTGTTGGTCCAGAAACATTTTTGAAAATGCTACCCAACTTGGGTTTCCCAAAAGAGCTCGCAACTGCTTCTGGGGCCACTGTGAGCATTGCAGGGTCGCTAATGATGCGAGATTTGGGACTTGGTGTGGGCCATCTTTTAGCTGCCAAGTTGAAAAATGAGGTATTGTCACGCTCCATGGCATTGGTCCATGCTTTGGAAATTGTTGGTATCCTTTGCTATTCGCCTTACGCTGCAATGTTGAGCTTTTCTCCATTTCTGGCTCTTGATGCAGTGGCAATCTTTGTGCTACCTGGACCTGATGATGCTGGCAAAAGAAAATCCAAGTGAAGATCTGAAACTGCCAAGCAATCGTACCTGGTTGCCAGGCACGAGCTTTTACTGTGTCATATCCGTTATGAGAAACCAAATGGTGACGAAGGCAACAATCAAAGAGCTGAAGATCTCTGAACGAAGATCTTTAAAAAAAACGAATATTGTGAACCACCAGCTTTCGATGATGTTGATTTAGTTGTGCCGCGGAAGAAGACCCTTCCCCTGCCTCTTTGATGTTTTGCGCTCATGGCCTTGCCTCGAGTGACAATTTCATGCGATAATCCTTCCCTCTTACAACACATTTTGACTGCCCTTCTAGCTAGCTGATCCAGCTACTAGCTAGACATGTAGCTACCAGTTGGAATTTTACTTGCTAGAAACCGACCTCCAGCCATTGTTGGAGACTGCATTGTCTCCCAAAGCTGCACTTGCTGGCCAGCTGGTCAGATAGTCCTGCATGTTGCATGTATCGGTACGCTGTACGAAGCAGCGGTGACTATAATAGTATTTATATCTTCTAGCTAGACCCCCGCATCATTTTCTTCGTTGTCGTGACACCACCAATAAGTATTGGATCATCTTGGGATGCATCACCTTTAAACAATTGGCAAGGATTGTCTCATTCATGATGGCCAGCAGAGCTTGCAACTGCTTCTGGGTTAATTGTGAGTCTTGCAGGGGCAGTGGCCATGCGAGACCTAGGACTTGGTGTAGGCCATCTCATCGCTGCCAAATTGAAAAATGATGTGGTGGCACGGACCATGGCATTGGTAAATGCTTTGGAAATTGTTGGTATCCTTTGCTATTCACCCTACAATGCACTATGGAGCTTTTCCCCATTTCTAGCTCTTGATGCTGCTGCAATTTTTGTGCTATCAGGACCTGATGACATTGGTAAGAAGAAGATGTGAGAGATCACCACAAGATCCTTGAAACCAGTCAGAGCTGAACTGAAGCAGCCAACTGCAATGAGCAATCAACAAGATAACTCCCTACACTAAACCCTGTAAAAATAGCTTTGGCTTTGAGCTTCTAGCTATAGCCAGTAAATGGTAGCTGGCCTCTGCTTCTACGGTACTGGCCAGCCGGTGGCTAGCTACCGGTAGATGGATTGGCAGTACCACTGGTACCGGTACGTTACCGGTACCCGACCATACCGGTACGTCCGCATAGCTGGACCTCTGTCGAAACGTCATTGTGGCAAAATACTAGGAGACATACACCGAGGATAGGAACGATCGAAATGATTTAAGAGACGAAAGCAATCGTCTCCTATATTAGGAGACGATTCAGTAGAGACATTCCAATTAGAAACGATCGTTTCGAAATAGGAGACGTTCCGAAAGATTTAGGAGACATAGCATCAGTTTACTACATTAGGAGACGACCGTTTGAGAATAGGAGACGATCCGTTGAAAATAAGAGACGTTTAAGAGAACAAAAGATTTAGAAGACGATCCGTTTCGTCTCTATTTTAGGAGAGAAATCCATTAAATAGGAGACAATCAAAAGATTTAGTAGACGAAAGTAGCATTGACTCAGAGTTTTCCAGAGTCCTGTGCAAGCCAAGTCTTACTGCGAAAAGGCTGATGGTGTGTGATAAGAGGTTGCTATAGGTTTGTGTTACTACTTGTTTTGTGGTTGTGGTTGATTTGTATCTGGTAATCTGGTAACTGATATTCATAAATCGCTACCACAGGTCTTTTCGGTCCCCTCAAGCTAAGGGGGATCTATCTCACGTAGATTGCACTTGACATGGAAAACAGACTTCGGAAGTCTGAAACGGGATGTACCCTTGGGGCAAGGCCCCTTGGAGGCTCAGACCTGCCGTTCACCAAACGGCCCACCTATGGTCATGTTGCCTTTTTTGCAGATTGTTAGTAGAGGACTTTCGAAACCAGTCGCTGCCTCACAGGCCGTTCTGGATCTTCGTCAACATATCGGCCAAGTTGCTCTCTGTGTTCTCATAAGTCTGATTTGCCATTCCCGCAGCGACTCTTTCACGGACATAGTGGTATGCGACCGAGTTGTCTTTTTCTTCAAAGTAGATTCCGGGATCTGAGTTCTTGATCACGACATGTTGTCCGCTTGACGTGAGCCGGGCCTCAAGGGGAACTCCCATCATCCTGAGCTTGTACCGAAGCCTCCACGATCTCGATTCCAACCTTCATCGCCGCGAACTCAGATCCAAAGGAGGAATTTCAATGAGCCCTGCTTCTTGCTGTACACAAATAATTGGAGACATGTTGGCAAAGACGAGTACACCATTACGCGAACGACGTGTCACCTTGTCCCCACATGGTCAGAATCCACAAACATGGTGTTTTGGATTGGTTTGCCGAGGGGATTCGGCATGTCTGGAGGATAAGCTCTTTCGCATCGGCATAGAAATCAACTCCAGTCGGTCGCTCTGGTTCCACATGTTTCACATAGGAAGGATCAAAAACAAGTTGAGAACGACTGTGCTGCTTGAGATATGCCAAGATATGAAACACAGCGTCCAGTGCCCAACTCGTGGGGCTGAACAGTAGAAGCCATGATTGAAACCTCGGTCAGATGTCAATTTCCCGAGTTCCACGGCCCATCGTAGCACTCCAATCTGCTTTGAAAGTAATTTGTCCACTCGTCATCACAAAGTTTGAAACATCCAACTCCGGGGTGTAATTGCTCGTTAACACTGAAGTTGCTTTTGATTGAGCGTCTTCCCACGTCCCTCGAGCCATGTCTCCACATTCTGACAGCCTCCTTGACATATGTTCAGATCCCATTGACATAACATGGTTTGTCAACGCCAGGGAGATTGTACTCCTTGACTGAAGCTCCAAGATACTGGGTTGGCTTTCCCAGGGATCCTGGCTTCAGCAGGAAATGCTGATCCAGGTAGCAGAGTAAGGTATTTGGGTAGTTGACAGGCAAAGGAGATCGTCTGTGTAACCAAGATATACTCATAGTATTCCCTTCCGTCAGGCCTGGTGGCTGAACGAAACCAGACATCATTGTCTGCTTACAAGAGGTGAACCCAGGTTGTCTCGCAGAACATCAGCTAGGTGGGCCCTCCATGCTGCTCCACTTGTTTGAGGCCATACAGGGCCTTACGACCTTTGCTTTGCGTCCTCAAATGGGCCAAATTTCTTACCGCATGTGATAAAGATCTTCTTTCGAACTGGGGCATTCAAATATGCGTTGCCAATATCAGCGCCAATATGTCCAGATCGTTAAGGGCTGCAATCAAGAAGGCCAGCGTACACTCTCTCGACTGAACAACGCTGGCGTAGGTGATGGACGAAGGTGGATCGGTCATATGCCCCCCAGCAACCAGACGTGCCTTCATTGTAAAGTCGCTTTTAACATAAAAGACCATGTGACAACGGATGTAGTGTGTCCGACGGGATCAGGGGCATCCTCTTCCAGGATTCAAAAGCTTGAGCCGACGGCTGCCATCTCTTCTTAATGGCATCATGCCAAAAGGTTGTACCAGTCTCCTTTTCAATCTCAAGGGCATGCCCACCGTTTTGGGAAGCTCACCCCAATATTTCTGTTCCTTCCGAAGTAACGCATTCGCAACAGCAAAGATAATCCGATTCCGCTTCTTGAGGTGTGTAGGGAAACCCACCATAAGAAAGGGCTCTGAATGCTCATCCAGCCATTGTCTGTGCATACTCTGCCGTCTGAATCAGGTAAACCATCTTTCATGTCCTTAAGGGACTGCCATGAGGTGGTCCCATCCTTCCACCTGCACAAAAGTTCCACCCTTTGGTGGTCCGTCGCAAAGTATCCTGTCCATTCCGATAAAAAAAAATGTTAGGCTGACCCTGAAAAGCGTGTCCACCTTTCGGCATGGCCCAAGATATCCGCCATTCAATACAAAGTGTAGCCTGACATCATCCACTGACACGACATGATAGACTCCTGCACATAGATTTGCCGAGTAGGCCTCGTCTCGCCACTGTCAGACTCCACCTCATAAATGGAAGTATCAAGCAATGGGTTAGAATTCGAGAGACCAATCAGTTTTCCATCTGGGTTCCTCTTGCGCTTGGTGACTGTGACATAAGACATTTGGTCTCCCTGTGGAACACAAACACGAGTTGCAATGTACTTATCGAAGGCCTCATGTTGCATTATCACAATCGCTTCTGACAACTCTGGCAGAGGAGCTGGGTCATTATCATCAATTGGCTCATAATAATCTGGTATCTCTTCATCCCGACGAGATTCAGCATCATCACTACTGGCCAAAACATAATCGCTTGCCATAGGGTACTTCTTCCAAAGATTCTGGAATTGCTGGCCTCTTGGATTCAATCAACGGGCTCAGCTTCTCCTGGTCTGATAAGGGGATGACAGATTTCCTAGAGACCAACTGGCACTTCTCGGTGAGGATTCGAGCACACATAGCGTCCCCAATGTAAGTGCTGGGGCCACAGTAGCTACCAAGGCGCTTCCTTTCAATTGACTCGCCCTGTCTCTCAGGAGAGAGGTACCAAAACCAATCATACCATCCAAACTCACAAATATTTGAGATGTCAGCAGTGTCACCTGTCAAAAGAGTAGCGTGAACTTGACCATCCAACTCTCTGATCGGTAATGCGGTATTGATTCTGCGAAGTCAAGCCCGCAGAAGTCGAAACACATGTCCCAAAGGCATTCCAAGCTATCAGTAGTCGTCATTGTTCTTCTGTAAGTTCTCTTCAGCTCTCGGATTAGTTCTTCCGCGAAGTTCTGGTTGGTTGTGTAAGCCTCAACTGGATGGATAGGGCACTGAACTCGTTGTGCCTTTCGGCGAAACTCTCCCATGGTAAGCTCCTTCGCGTTGTCTTGGATCAGGACTCTTGGTATTCCAATCTTCTGGGAAAGTGAATCTAAGGTCAAGTGGGCCTCCGACTTGTTCTTCATCGGGTCAACATGGAACCAATGAAACGGTGTGCAGTAGACCTGGTCACACTTGTTTCCCAGGATGGAAGTGACCTTGCCGTAAACAGTGTCGGTATTCATTTCAACGTTGAGCCGAGGTTATCTGAGTTGATACGCCAATGGCTTCATCCTCCGTTCTCCACTCGCGTTGGGTGAAATCCCTAAGCGCTCGCTGAGTGTGTTCCGGCATGTTTTCTTGCTGCTTCCACCCAATATTCCACGCTTGCCAGTGCGTTCCGCGACACGGCTTTTCCCTTCCTGTAGGAGGTTTCGTCTGGTAGCAAGAGATCCTGGCCTGAAGGGCTGCCTCAAGTACTGTTGACGTCTAAAATGCAAGCGGATGATCATGATCCAGATTGAACCTGATCGGACTGAATTCTCCATTCCGGTTCCCCTTTCACGTGGCAGTCCGAATCCAAAGCGGCTCTGATAGAGGACTCGAGGTCAGCCGACTGGGATCTTGAGGGTTCCAAGGGGATTCGGATGTCATGTGAACGTTAACGAAGTGATCTGGAGAGTTGACTTCATGGGCGGTGTGCTTCCGGACTTGGAAGTATGAGATAAAACCGTCCAGTTGGAGTGGAATTCGTAGGTCACCACAAATGATTGAGTGGGATTCATTGGTTCTGTCTTCAAATGGTAGGTGCAACAGTTGCACATCGTTGACAACTAACTGGTGATGTCGCAGCTGAGCTGGACCAATGAGATTGTTCTGTAATTACTTGATAAGCAAAGATTGGTGAAAGAATAAAATATAAATTTGAGAAGTGAGTGGGTCGTCATAAGCTACAGCCACAGTTACAATTGGTACTCCGTGTATCGGTTTCCAAGATCAGTTGAAAAACCTTCGACGGATATAGTCTCTCCTGTGTCATGTACCACGTAAGCACTTTCCCGAAAGGAACATGTATCGGCAAGGCTGTCAGAGCTCAAATCCGAGATGATGGCAAATGAGTAGCAACGGATTGCAGAGTGCGAACGGCAGAGACTCATTCTCGCCGATTCATGGCATTGACTACGCTAGATCCACCAGGAACATCAGTCCGGGATCGTTTCTCGTCTTGCAATTCCGAGACTTTGGACTGGGTATCTGACAACTGTGTCTGCAGCTCGGCAATCTTCCGCTTGTCCCCATCGCGGGCGTCCCTAGCCTGTTGCTGCGGCGCCGATGTGAGCTGAGCCCACTCATTGGGATGGTAATATCTTCCTGGGTTATTGGGTCAAAACCCCGGCCTTCATTGCCTCTACCACGGCCTCGCCCCCTGCCTCGGCCTCTTACATAGCCTCGGCCTTGGGATCTACCACCGCCACGTCCCCGTCCTCTCCACCCGCCTCGACAACGGCCAGACACAGATGAAATATTTCTTGTGGGTCGAGTTGGTTCAGCGACATCAAGTTGCTTGGCTAAGTAATTCATAGCCTCCTGGAAACTCTCGCGTAGTTGCGGAGTTGCTTGAATGACTGACTTGGCGGTCTTGAGGTTGGGGTCTGTAATGCCGGACATAAGCTTGCGAATCTTGCGACTCTCAGTAAAGGTTTCAACAGCGGTTTCCAGATCGGTGAATGCCTTGGTAAGCCTTTCACAGTAGCGCTCAAAAGTGTAGTTGCGGGACTTCCCATCAAAGAAAGTAGTTTCAATGGCACTATCCGCGAATGCCTTGGTACGAGCCTGGAACGAATCAACAAGATAGTGAACCTTCATGGCAAAGTAAGCTGCTCGACCGTTCTGTTGCGCTGCACAACGTTGGACCAATGTCCAACCAGGTCCACCGGTAGTAACCGACCGAATGATGGCCAAAACAGCCTG